TACTATATATTAGCCACCAGAAAGAATAGCACAAACCATAGTTGAATAGCCATTAGTCGAAAGAGTTTGTAACATAGAAACTGTGACAAAGTTGATACAGTGGTACCTCTGGTTATGTACTTAATTCGTTCCGGAGGTCCGTTCTTAACCTGAAACTGTTCTTAACCTGAAACACCACTTTAGCTAATGGGGCCTCCTGCTGTCACTGCACCGCTGCTGCACGATTTCTGTTCTCATCCTGAAGCAAAGTTCTTAACCCGAGGTAATATTTCTGGGTTAGCGGAGTCTGTAACCTGAAGCATATGTAACCTGAAGCATATGCAACCTGAGGTACCACTGTATATATAATTTTATATCCAGGGAGAGAAGAATGTGCTCCTTACTCAATGTTTTATTCAATTAACAATAAACTGACAGGGGGATAATATCAATTAAGGTTTCAAAGAGAACCTGATAGAGCAATCATGTAATTCCAGTACACCATCAATCATTACTGAATCAAAAAGAAATTAGCACTTCCTGGATCCAGTTCTACTTGCTCACTAAGAACTGAGTGTGAACCAAAGTGGCTGAGATTTTCCAAGAACTACATTTGTCATTAAAAATGAGCAATTAATACTATATAATTTTTTGCCCAACAGAACAATGGATCTCGGAATGTTGAAGTCAGATTTCGGAACTCCCCAAAGTGTATCATGCAGAGAAAAGAGAAATGTGGGACTCACACATCCAAGGAACTTGAGGAAATGTGGGACAGCTATACGAGGATTTGAAATGTCAATACATCGCCTTGAGTGAATGAATCACTACTAAACTCTGCAAGCTTTCAGACTTTATGCATTATAAAGGTTTATTTTTTTAATGCTGTTAATTTATTCTTTGTGAACATTTCAAACTGTGGGGTTTTTTTATAGACAGCATACATTTTACAAGGCTTATATTTGATGGTGTTAATTTATTTTATAGTAATATTTCAAACAATAAATTACTGGCTAGGTTCAAGGTCCTTGTATCAATGTGCAAAGCCCTTAACAACAGCTTGATCACTGAGATCTACTGGAGCAATGCTGTTAATTTACCCATGTGTGAATGAGGTCCAAATGATATCTATGAGAAATTGAGCATTTACCACAGCTGGAATGCCCTGCTAATAGAAATTTTCCAGGCACTGTTGTTACCCATTTTTAGATGTCTTTGGATAACTTATTGTTACAACAACCAATTCAGTGGGATAACTTTTATGTGAGTGTCCAGCTCCTTATGTTTTTCATTCTTGCTTTTATATTTGCCTTATGTTGTGGTTTTATATTTGCTGTACACTGCTTATATGTTTTCTGTATGAGTCAGAGGTCTATATTTTTATAAATAAAAATGCTTTGATGAAATGTTTTGCAATGTACAGTACACTGAGTTGTGAACAATCTTGTGCAATTTGTGTCAGGGAATAAGGAAACCCATGGAGTCAATCAAACCACTTTGCCTGTATTTACCTTTTTAAAACCAGCTTCTTCCCATTGAAGGCAAAACAAATAAACAAATTTACAGGTTAGTCTTTATGATCAAACAGTGGACATCAGCATGAAACAGTGTGCTTTGAATAGAGCTTCTGCTTAGATGCCTAAATCCAGCACTGAGTTTAGTAGTAGTATTCTCCATGCTACGTGACTTGGTGCATGTGATCTGTCTTCTTATTGTTAGCTGTTATTCCTGCATTGCAGGGGGTTGGACTAGATGACCCGTGGTACCCCTTCCAACTCAACTATTCTTTGACTCTGTTGTTGTTGTTATTACTATTACATTTGTCAGTTTCTTCATACAACGTCTCAAAACAAGATAAAATGCAATAAATAAAAGCCATTTAATTTTTTTAAAAAAATGTAAAACAATGAACAATGCAAAATGAATAAAATGTTCATCCAACAATTTACTAAAGATAAGCCTTACTCACCCCATTAAAAGATGGACATCAGTGTAGGAGGTAACTTAATTACCAAAGTCTCAGTGAAGAAAAAGATTCCTAGATCATTTTTTTTATAAGATATTTATTAAGATTTTCAAAATATTACAAAATGAAAAAAGAAAAAGAACAATACAAAATAAAAATAGTTAAAAACAATCCCATCTTTCCATTACTTATCTTTCATTTGCTTGTTTCCTGGACCTCCTCACACCTCCCTTTTTTGTATTCCAATTCAATTTGTTAGTTCAGCAAATCCTTTCCCTCTTTGTTTATCCTAGTCTTTAATCTTAAAATATTGTAACATTAAATTTTTACCTGTTAATAATCCATTTTTTCATATTCCTTATAGCATTATAGCTAAAAACCACTTAACTTCTTATCCAACATCATTCTAACATTCATTAATTTTACAATATTTCTGTAGATAGTCTTTAAATTTCTTCCAATCTTCTTCCACCGACTCTTCTCCCTGGTCTCGGATTCTGCCGGTCATTTCTGCCAGTTCCATATAGTCCATCACCTTCATCTGCCATTCTTCCAGGGTGGGTAGATCTTGTGTCTTCCAATACTTTGGAAAAAGATTCCTAGATCAAAGACTGACAATGATGGTGCCAAGCACATCTTTCCACAGAGATCGTTCCACAGATGGGGTGAGCACAGGTGAAAAGCCCTGCTGTAATATGGCCACCCTCCACAACTCCTTTAAAGAGGGGCACATGGAGAAAGTCCTCTAGTGAAGCGCACAGGATGCAGATTGGTTCATATGGGGAGATTCAGTCCTGAATAGGGCTTTAAACAGTAGAGTGGTACCTTGGTTCTCAAATGCCTTGGTTCTCAAACACTTTGGTTCTCAAACTGAAATATACTCAGAGTCGCAAAGTGATTTCATGCTCTTTATTCAGCTCATAGTGGTGAGGAGGAATGAATGAATGTTCCCTCAAAGTATCTGCTTTATATACATTATTTACACAATGGGCTGCACATGATTGGCTAATTCCGGAATTCTACTGTAAGCCAATCAGGTTGTGGATTCACTTCTATCTGGAGCATGATTGGGTGGTTCCTGCCAACCAATCATACTGCTGCATTGTTCTAGGACCAATCAGACTGCTGCATTCTGAATCCTATTGTTCTAGGACCAATCAGACTGCTGCAGTTTGGATCCTATTCAACTCAGTACATAACACAAACTCTGAAAACCCGGAAGAAAGTGTTCTGGTTTTCGAATGCTTTTCGGAAGCCGAACGTCCGATGCAGCTATCGGCTATCGTTTCTGGGGCACCTGGACCAATCAGAAGCTGCGCCTTGCTTTTCGAACATTTCAGAAGTCAAATGGACTTCCGGAATGGATTAAGTTTGGCACTTTTGTCTTTGCTATTTATTTTGCGTTTTTGTTTTTGAGGCTTTTTCCGTTAATTTGTTTTTGTCACTGTGTGGAACTCAGTTCAGCTACTGCTTGATTGATTGTGTGACTGCGGAAATGGATACACCCCCCTCCCCCATCCAAACAATGACTATCATCAGTGCAGGTAAGAATTTTTTAAAATTTATTTTATCATCCAGGTACACTCCTGGATTTACACTGTTTTCCAGGTACACTCCTGGATTTACAGAAGCCGTCCCAGTTTCTGATTTGATCCCAGTATATCCCGCTTTATCCTTAAAAGATAAAGGTAAAGGTACCCCTGCCCGTATGGGCCAGTCTTGACAGACTCTAGGGTTGTGCGCTCATCTTACTCTAGAGGCCGGGAGCCAGCGCTGTCCGCAGACACTTCCGGGTCACATGGCCAGCGTGACAAGCTGCATCTGGCAAGCCAGCGCAGCACACGGAAACACCGTTTACCTTCCCGCCAGTAAGCGGTCCCTATTTATCTACTTGCACCTAGGGGTGCTTTCGAACTGCTAGGTTGGCAGGCGCTGGGACCAAGCAGCGGGAGCGCACCCCGCCGCGGGGATTCGAACCGCCGACCTAATGATCGGCAAGTCCTAGGCGCTGAGGTTTTACCCACAGAGCCACCCGCGTCCTGCTTTATCCTTAGGATGTCCCTATTTTCATCGGGAAAATGTTGGGATGTCCCTATTTTCATCGGAGGGTATGAGGTTGACAACAAATAAAAGGAATTGCCATGATCTTTTCTATGAACCGCCCTGAGACCTCTCGGTATAGGGCAGTATATAAATTCAATCAATCAATCAATCAATCAATGGCAAGCTCCCACACAATATTACAACCACCTTTTCTTAGGGGAAAAGTCACAGCAGTTTAAAACGGCATAAAACCTATTCTATGCTCATAAGTACATACTGACTCAGTAATCAACGGGCTGCATTATTCTAATGAAAGAGAGAAAACTCATTGGAAAGACTGAATGGTCATTTTCAGGGCCAGATTAATATTTGATGAGTCCCTAAGCTACTGAAGGTAATGGGGCCCTTTATATGTCCAGCTGTCCTTTGTCAACAACAAATTGCCGCTGGTTTTTTGAGTTGAATATATGCTATATGGTAATTTATGGAGCTATAATAGGTATCTAAAGCCATTTGCACATAACAAAACATGTACATCATAAGAGCCTACACAACACAAAACACTGTTGCTGCATGTAGGTTTTATTTTATTTGTTTATCTTATATTTTGGAAATGTACATCCAGTTTTTTCCCCCTTTAAATTTTTTGGGGCCCCCTAAGCTATAGCTTGTTTAGCTTATACGTAAATCTGGCACTGTGCTGCACAACAGCAGCAAGGAAGAGAGAAAGAAAAGAGGAACAGATGGGGCAATAAAAAAGAAGACGAGAGATCTGCCTTGCACTTTAGGGCCCTAACCTATAGCTTCTTTAGCTTATACGTAAATGGCTCCCCCCTTTTTTTCTTTATTGGAAAAGCCATCGGGACCCAAACGCAACGTGTCTGCCCTGCATCCTTGCCCAGCACTGCCTAGGAAAGCAGGGGACCCCGCTCGCCTCGGGGTGGGAACTAAAGTGCCCAGCGCGTGATGCCAAGCCGAGCCACTTTTGCAAACGCACACAAGGGCCGGAAGCAGCGGCGGACGCCGGGTTTTTTTTTTCCTGCGCGGAGCGTCCGGCACGAGCTGCGGGGAACGTGGTCCGGGGCGGTTGGTGGTCGCGTGTCGGTGGTGGCCCGTCCCCCCCCCCGCAAAGCGATGTCGTCGGAGGGCAGCAGCCGCGAGGGGGGCAGCGCTCTGTTCGCGGGCTTCCGCGCGCTCGGCCTCTACTCCAACCACTTGGCGCACGTGGTGCGCTTCCACCGCCGCCACCGGGAGTTCTACCTGGTCACGGCGGTGGGGAAGAGCTTCCACACGTACAACGTGAGTCCCACCCCGGACACGGGGGGTATCTTTCGTGTTACGACCTGCTTTCTGCGTGCAGAAAGTGTGGGGAGAGTGGGGCGGGGTCCAGGGGCATAAATTGAACATGCTTCCCATTAAACCCATTCGTTGAGAGGCTGAAAGAGTCGCAGGTGTTTTGTTTAGACTGTCCGTGGATCCCAACGTGGGGCAAACGCCCCACAGAGGGGGGGGATTTGATATTTAAGGGCGGGGGGTGGCAATTGGAGAATGAGTTATTAACAGATAATGGTGGCCTTTTAGGCTTCACGAGAATAGGAGTTCGCTTTTTGAACAATAGGAATTAAATGTCACTGGGTGTATGTGTGCACCAGGGTTTTAGAGATGCTTAGGTGGGGCATGGCCAAAAAAAAAAAGGGGGGTTGGGAAACACTGGTTTAGAACCAGACAACTGAGTTCAGCCATACGGAAGCTTAAAAAATGAGGAGAGCTTCTTGGTCACCCAGTGAAATGGGTTTTAGAGATGCTTAGGTGGGGCATGATCAGGGACGCGGGTGGCGCTGTGGGTAAAAGCCTCAGTGCCTAGGGCTTGCCGATCGAAAGGTCGGCGGTTCGAATCCCCGCGGCGGGGTGCGCTCCCGTTGCTCGGTCCCAGTGCCTGCTAACCTAGCAGTTTGAAAGCACCCCTGGGTGCAAGTAGATAAATAGGGACCGCTTTCTAGTGGGAAGGTAAATGGCGTTTCCGTGTGCGGCTCTGGCTCGCCAGAGCAGCGATGTCACGCTGGCCACGTGACCCGGAAGTGTCTTCGGACAGCGCTGGCCCCTGGCCTCTTGAGTGAGATGGGCGCACAACCCCAGAGTCTGGCAAGACTGGCCCGTACGGGCAGGGGTACCTTTACCTTTACCTTTACTAGGTGGGGCATGCCCCCCCCAAAGGTTGGGAAACACTGGTTTAGAGTCATACAACTGAGTTCAGCTATAAAGGTAAAGGGACCCCTGACCATTAGGTCCAGTCGTGGCCGACTCTGGGATTGCAGCGCTCATCTTGCTTTATTGGCCGAGGGAGCTGACGTACAGCTTCCGGCTCATGTGGCCAGCATGACTAAGGTGCTTCTGGTGAACCAGAGAAGCGCACGGAAACGCTGTTTACCTTCCCGCTGGAGTGGTACCTATTTATCTACTTGCACTTTGACGTGCTTTCAAACTGCTAGGTTGACAGGAGCTGGGACCGAACAACGGGAGCTCACCCCGTCGCGGGCATTCGAACCACCGACCTTCTGATCGGCAAGCCCTAGGCTCAGTGGTTTAACCCACAGTGCCACCCGCGTCCCTTCGAGTTCAGCTATACGTGAAGCTTAAAAAATGAGTTTCTTTCTCACCCAATGCCTATTTACTTTATGGGGTTCACTGCCACTAAATGTGGCGGTCCTTATCCTCGGTAGCTTCATAAGAGAATTGGAAACCTCCAAGCAAAGCCTCAAATGAGGGAGATTTGTAGAGGGAACTTTTTTTAAAAAAAAACAACACATTTGCATCCTACCTTTCCACTTGAGAAGCTCAAGGTGGCTTCTCACGGTTCTTCCCCCTCCCCGTTTTACCTTCATGACAGCCCCGTAAGGTAGGCTACGCTAAGCAACTTTATGGAAGGTTAGACAAAATCATAAAGGAGAAAAGTGTGAAAGTGGTTATGGCTACATGGAACCTCCGTGTTTGGGTGCTGCATATCTCTTTAATATCCGATACAAAGGACAAACCACAGTGAAAGGCTGTTTCATCACACCATTCTTCATTAGCAACCAGAAATGTACAAAAGAAAGAGCTCCAAAATTCTGACACGTTTTTCCCGCACAAAAGGTGGCAAACAGTCCTTGAATTGTTCCAAGCTAAACCCCCAGCACATAGGTTATATGGGGCTCAGATTTGGACTGGCACTTACCTTGGTTCTACGGAAGCTGTTCAATCAAAAGTTCTTAAGGCAATTTTTTTCTGTTCCACCCTGTGTCCCAAATGCATCATTGCGCCTAGAGCATGGGTAGGCAACCTAAGGCCCGGGGGCCAGATCCAGCCCAATCACCTTCTAAATCTGGCCTACGGACGGTTCAGGAATCACCTTTTTTTTTTACATGAGTAGAATGTGTCCTTTTATTTAAAATGCATCTCTGGGTTTTTTATTGGGCCTGCCTGGTGTTTTTACAGGAGTAGAATGTGTGCTTTTATTTAAAATGCATCTCTGAGTTATTTGTGGGACATAGGAATTCGTTCACCCCCCCAAAAAGTATAGTCCGGCCCCCCACAAGGTCTGAGGGCCAGCGGACTGGCCCCCTGCAGAAAAAGTTTGCTGACCCATGGCCTAGAGGCTAATCTTCCATCAGTAGAATTATGGATCTGGCATAGGACACTCAAATCCCCCATCTAATATCCTTAGTGCTACAAGATTGTCACAAGAGTGCCTGGTCTAAAATTGTCTGTCAAAAACTTCACTCTTGTGGTTTATCACCACAATAGCTACTCACTCACCTTGGGTTTTAGTAAAGCAAACAGTCTAATCTGTCAGTGCCTAATGATATCAAGTGTCAGAACAACTTGGCCACAGTAAGGAAATTTTGCCCATGGTATGACTATTTTCCACCTTCCCATTTCGACTTTCTGGCACCCTATCTGCATAACCTAGCAATTCCAAAATACAGCCCTCGGCGGTTCTTGAGGAACGATTCCAACAGATTCCACATGAAAAACGCTTATGTCCCTGTGGAGATGGCAGTACTGAATCAGTGGCACTTGCACTTTTTATAAAGACTTGAGGAATGAGATTATCACCCCTCTTTTATTGTTCATTCCGGGTTGCCCAACCACTGCCACAGTGTCCTTTCTCTTGGCAGATCAAGATGAGCAGATGACAGCAAAGGTTGCAAGGTTTTTAGCTGGGGCAATCAAAATAAGGTCCACTCTTTGACTGTTGATTCAGGACCATAATGTGTGTTTTATATAATTGACTTTTATTTCTGTTCTTTGTATATTGCATTGTTCTTTTATTGCTATGGCCGATGGCTGACACAAATAAAGATTAATTCATTCATAGCAACTTGATGAACTTCCAAATTGGCTGTAATTTCTAAATGAAGAGGAAGGAGTGGGAGTGGGAACATAAATATATTACTGAGAAAGGAAGAGAGAAATGTGACTTGGATTTTTTTTTTTTTTGTGCTGCTCAATATAATCCTCATTTTCACATCCTTTACGGAAGGAGTGGGGCTTGTGCTCTTGCATAACATTTGACTTGCAGCTATACAACATAATTTATTCTATATCACTCAAGATAATCCTCATTTTCACATCCTTTCCAAAATGAATGGGACTGCAGCTGTTGTGTAACATAAAATGTTTTCATATCATGGTGCATGTAAATCTGAAAGAGTGCAGCTGAATTTCATTAAAGGGGTGTTTTTCCACAGATTTAACAAGAGGCCAGTTCCATTACTATTATAACTTTTCTAACTACAGCAGTTATTTCATGAATAACTATGCCCATCTTCCATGCACATTAGTCTCTTTCTCCAGAAACATTTATAGCTTGTCTAATAATTGTAATACTGAACTATTTTTCTAAAAAATATTATGCTTTTATTGCAGGTGAAGAGACTAGGCTTAGTTGCTGTTAGTAAGTATATTGTTCTATGTATGTGCATTTAATATGCGGTTTAGTTTTGTATCTTTCTTTACAAATTGTAAGTTGCGGTGGATACTGTTTACGTACAAAAAACGTGCTAAAAGTTGTAAAATCCACTACAAAATGGAGTGTTTTGTACCCAAGTTTAATTGGACACCTGAGGCAGAAAATCTCTTCACTGACTCTACTTGGGAGTAATAACAATAAATTAAAACTTGTTGCCCTTCCACCATGCACTGGAGGAACTTGTGTCCGAGTAAACTTTGTGTTTTAAGTCCTGTTTATCTTAGAGCATTCAAATGAATGTGCCTTCTGGTCATTCTTACTGATGGAGCACACAGTAAATTGTGTGTTTTAGTTCTAAGCATGTGTCAACATTTTGTGTGTGTATTTCTAGTAGCAATTGATATTCAGTATACTGCAACGTTGAGGGAAATTATCAGTACATCACAATGTGTCTTCTTTGCTGTGTGTACTTTAAAATTGATAGAGCTTGCTCTTTTTGTTTCCCTTGTCTTTTAGGCAATGCTTTGCCACAGGACATTACCTGTTTGGCAGCCGACAGAATGTTGGTCTTTGCATCTTGTGGCAGTCTTCTCCATGCTTTTGCTCGGAACAAAGAGGTTTGTATAATTATTATGCAAGATATACCAATTTCTATCTGATCCTGAAAGTATTTAGGCTGCAAACCTGTATCCACAAACCTGGGAGTAGTTGAAGTTCACAGAATTCTATAGAACTTGCTTTTGAGTATACATTTGTATTCAGGATATGGGTGCTGTATTATTAATGTATGGGTGATTTGCCCCTGCATATCTCAAAGGTGGGCTGGAGTGGCTCTGAAACCTTAGTATGATATTACAGTCAATATCTGGTTTACATTTGGAATTGTTTAAAATATTAATTCTGAAATTGGTACAGCTGGGATGTTGTATGGGTCATATTATGACTCTTGAATCCAGTTTGGGCTGTATGTTATACTTGTATTCTGTCTTTCCACCTAATCAATGTCAGGGAACCTGTGCCTCTCCTTTCATCCCTCACTCTGGCTGGAACTGATCAGAGTTGAAGTAATAACATCTGGAGGGCCGCAGGCTTCCTATACCTGTGCTAAATAGTGCTGAAGGCACTTCATTTCTAGATATGATTTTATACCTCTAAGGAAATAACTAAGATACTTTGAATTGCAGGTGGTTCACACTTACAAAGGTCACAGAGCAGATGTTCACCTTATACTGCCATTTGGGGATCATTTGATATCTGTTGATCGTGATAACATTCTCATTATTTGGGATGTACAGTCAGAAGGTAATATTTGACCCTTTTAAAAGTAATAACTATTCAGAGAAATAAATTTTTAAAACATATTTGTAGCATATATGGCAGCTAATGCTCTTCTTTGTCCTGCAGAAGAATACTTGCAGATGAATTTTGATAAGACAGTGTTTGCTGTTTCTGCAATTATGCACCCAAGTACCTATTTGAATAAAATTCTTCTTGGTAGTGAACAAGGAAATCTACAGTTGTGGAATGTAAAATCCAAGTAAGAACATGTCTCTCTCCCCCACCCAACTTCCTGACCCAAACTACAAATGTATTAGCCTGGTTATCAGTCATTTGCTCCCGTAAAATGTGGAATTAATGGAGAACGCAGATGGATTGGAGGTGGACAATTTTCCAATGTTGTTTGATTCTAACAGACTAAATTGTAAATATGGCCATAAGTGAAACAATCACATGCTAGTGGTTCTCAAACTAAAGCTATACGGAAGGGCTTGTTTAGCAACGAGCCTGTTCAAATTACATAGGAAATAACTGAGAATATTTGAAGTGAGCATGAATTTATGTTCTAAGCCAGTAGAAGGGTTACGTAGTTTTGATCTAAAAATATGGGCCCAAGTCACAAGCACTATTTTCCTTGTTTTATTTAAATGAGATTTGCACTATGCACCTATTGGTGACATTGATGAGTATTGTCTTAGGGGTGTCTTTGCATAGAGACAATGGCCCTGACAACTGTGAAAAGATTGAACCGCCATAGCTTTCCTCTCCCTTGTTTCCCAATGCAGGCTCCTGGGTCTCTACCAGAAAGGAGCTCTCCTGAAGGAAATGCTATGAGGACAGAGGGATCCTGGGGAAGTGGGAATTGGCTAAGATTGGGCAGAGGCACTTTGCATGAGTAGAGCTTCCTCCTGCTTTTAGTTCTTGGGACCTAAGACAATGCTAGTAGTATTCGCCCCCACCCCAATAAATAGCACACCAGAAGTTTGAATATTTTTTTCTGCAAATGTTGGTTTTGTGTTTAACATCCATTCTGATGTACCGGTAGTTTTGTTTCGTAGCATTCAAAAGACTAACCTCTTTCTCTCTCCCTCACCAAAGCAAACTTTTATATACATTTCCTGGCTGGGGAGCAGGAGTGACAGTCCTTCAACAGGTAAGTGTGTGAATATATAGAGGGTTGGATCCAGAGATCAGTCTGCAGAAGGTGGTGAGCAAAAAATGAGCTTGCTGGCACCTCCTCTTCCTGACAGTCTGCCCTTCTAAAAAGGCTTTTCCTAGGTTTGGGGAACCCTGCTAAATAGTTTGGACCGAGGGGGAAGGTGATGGAAAATCAAGTGAAAACACCTTCTGTGAGTGGCAGCTTCAATTACCCTCTGCAGGCTTATCTCTGGTTTTAACCCAGCGACAATTACATACTGTTCCTTGATAGTTATTTTCAGATTGCTTTATTAATGTTCTCTGCTAGATCAAATAGGTATAGCCCACAATGCTAAGCCTGTCCCTTAGTTCATATTAGCAGATCTACTACTACTATTGCAGGATTCTGAATGACAGACTTTAGTAAGCAAAGTCAATGTACATGTCAGTACTCTTGAAAACACTGTGTACTTGGGCTGTATTATATTGCTAGTGGTGTTGCAAAAATAATATATATGTAGGGGATTTTTCTTTAAATAAATGAACCTAGCTCTTGCCAATCTGAAATTCATTCAAAAAGTCTATGCTAAAAATTAGCACTAGAATAGAAATGGAACGATCACATGCAGGCTTCAGTCTACACACCCTTATCTAGAAGTAAGTTCTGTTCCATTTAATGGATTTTTTTTAAATTAATGCAGTATGTTTGGGTTTAGACTGTTAAACCATGGTCCACAAATCACATATTCTTAAAATGTAGTAATCTTGGGACCATGTATTGTAGTTTTTTGTTTTTTTAAAGAATTCAACCTGTATGGAGCTCATTAGTTGTGCTCTGCTTCTAAACACTTCTATTTGAACATAATTAGAATGGTGTCAGTGTCCCAAATTATATACTAGTAGGTTTTACACAAGGCTGTAATCCTTAAGCACACTTGTTTGGAAGTAAGCCCCAGTGAGGTTAGTGCTAAATATATGCATCCAAAATTTGATTTCATCCAAAATTTGATTTCATCCAAACGTCCACTCTTAGGTGGAAGAGTTGTAATTAAAATGTTGTGTGTACTGTGAGTGGTGTGGCCCTGAATGTATGTTCCCTTGCTGTGCATTCATATATTTGATATGAACGACAATAAGGTTTGCACAAAGGCTTGCAAGGTGTCGGAAACTGGGCTTTAGTGTTAATGCAGTAAGTTCTGTGGCCTGTTATAATCAAAGAATGTGTTAAGTTAGAGGTAGAGGGTTGAATCATATGAAACAAGCAAACTTATGCTCATGGATCAAGACATCTGAACGACCCTCTGGAGTGGTGGGCTGTAGTTGGGAGGGGGAGTCAAATTAAATCTCCCCCCCCCACGCTCCAAACGAGTACAGCGTATGTGCACAGATCACCACTGAATCCAAGTGAAAGTTTACTAAAGAGAGTATTATTAGAGAGTAATAGTCTACAGCTTCCGCAGCTTCTTTTGCCCTGGCTTCAGATGGTGAAACACACTCCAAATAAAGATGTAAGTAGGTGTAAAAATGTGTAGAACTAATTTGTTTGCCCTTCCTCCACAATGTCAACATTTTGAGGAAAGCTGACCAAACCTACTGTATCACCTGAAGTCTCCGATAGCCTCTCTTGCTGCTTCTGTGGAGGTTGAAGGAAACAGGCAATATCTTGGAGTTAGCATCTCACCTAGTCTGAATTCTGAGGCTCCTTCCATTTTGGAAATATTAAAAGATGACTGGGAAATATGCCATGGAATAATGATTACATGCATCTCATTCTATTCAGTATGCAATAATAAAAATGCATGACAGTAAACAAGCTTTGAAATTGGAAAAGCATGTCTTTGATGCAGCAAGCTTATTCTTGTCTAAAAAGTAACAAAAGCCTAATTAGAATGAACTTGTGTGCTTACTCAGAACTTGGTGATTTCATTCAGGTGTGCCCAGGAAAAGTTTCTAATGGAATCTTACCACACATTCTTAACAGGTTATTTATGCTCTGTTGCAAAATACAAAAAGTTGCTGTTGTTTAATAGTATAACTTTATTTGCAGGCCCCAGCAGTGGATGTCATTGCAGTAGGTCTTGTGTCTGGTTACATCATAGTGCACAATATTAAATTTGATGAAACGCTGATGAAATTTCAACAAGACTGGGGTCCCATAACAGCAATATCATTCCGTACAGGTACACTTCAACACTTACTAGAAACCTCAGATGTGAGTTAAAGCCTTAAGTTGAAATACAAATTTAAGTATAAGCTGCTTGTCACCTGTTGCAAGCTATCATAAGGCCAGGACTGAAATGTACAGGTAATTGGTCTTGCTGTAGTTGCATTTAGACAGTCCTCCAGTCGATGGCTTGAAGATCACAGATGATTCTGAACGTTCTATTCTCCCCTTGCATGCACAGTTTTTATGGAAATTTTTCTGGTCTAATCAAGCGATAGTTTATTGTTATGTCTGAACAGGAAAATTGTGGCGTGAGTGATTTAATCACTCACCCTCTCCACCCTCTCCCAATCTATTTTAATGTTAGTTGGCTTTCTTTCCCAGTTGTACGCTTTTCAGTCTTACTTGTTTTGATTTAAGGTATCTGTATTTATGTTTTGTTTATTTTCTGCATGTGATCAGATGGACACCCAGTTATGGCTGCTGGAAGTCCTGTTGGGCATATTGGGTTGTGGGATCTAGAAGAAAAGAAACTTCAGGGCCAGATGAGAGGTGCCCATTCTACAGCAATTTCGGGTATGACGTTTGTCCAAGGGGAACCACTTCTTATTACCAATGGTTCGGACAATGCAATAAGGGTAAGTTATATGGCTTTAACTAATTAATATTCCGTTTCCAAAATGATTTCCCCTGCCCCTTCTGATGATCCTAAGATGATTCATGCACCTAGTCAAGTACTTTATTTTATTACGGGCATAGACCAGCATAAGCAAAACATCTGAATAAATAGCATAACAGTATAAATCTAAGCGAATAATTATTAAATAAATAGGAGCAAAAACCAAACGTAGATTTAAACATATACATAGAATAGTTAATTACGTAATTCATGCACCTAGAAACACAATGTACACTCCTTCTTTTTGTTCTTGGGAACAAAAATACTGTGTAGTTGTGCAAAACTGTTCCGGGTAGAGCATTATGGTGTGTCTGTAAGATGCCCTCTTATGTTCGTTGTTGCATAATTAGGTTTCATTTGTTGAGAAACAGCAGGCAATCTGCACAGTTCTGCTAAGCCAGTCATTACTAGTGATATACAGTGGTACCTCGCAAGACGAATGCCTCGCAAGACGGAAAACCCGCTAGACGAAAGGGTTTTCCGTTTTGGAGGCGCTTCGCAAAACGAATTTCCCTATGGGCTTGCCTCGCAAGACGACAGCCCATAGGGAAATCTCCGGGACAGCGGGGAAGCGCAGCGCGTCTTCCCCGCTGTCCTTGGACCTCCTCCGAAGCCTGGCGGCGGGGCGAGGACACCTTCTCTCGCCGCCGCCGGGCATCGGAACGATGCCCCGATGCCGGGCGGTGGGGCGGGAACCTCTCCCCCCGCCGCCCAGCATCGGAACGATGCCCCGATGCCGGGCGGCAGGGCGGGAACCTCTCACCCCGCCGCCGGGCATCTGAACGATGCCCCGATGCCGGGCGGTGGGGCGGGAACCTCTCCCCCCGCCGCCCGGCATCGGAACGATGCCCCGATGCCGGGCGGTGGGGCGGGAACCTCTCACCCCGCCGCCCGGCATCGGAACGATGCCCCGATGCCGGGCGGCGGGCGGGAACCTATCACCCCGCCGCCGGGCATCGGAACGATGCCCCGATGCCAGGCGGTGGGGCGGGAACCTCTCACCCCGCCGCCGGGCATCAGAACGAGGTCCTGGACCTCTTCTGAAGGCAGGCGGGGGCAAAAGTCTTTGTCCCCCCTGCCTGCCTTCCCAGGGGCTTTTAAATCGTCCCGGACAGCGGAGAAGTCCTCCGCTGTCCCGGGCGATTTTAAAATGCCGCCCGCCAGCATTTTAAGATCGCCCCGGACAGCGGAGACGTCCTCCGCTGTCCCGGGGTTTTTTAAAATGCTGGGGGTGGGAAGAAAGGCCCTTGTCCCCCCCCCCCAGCCTTCAGAAGAGGTCGGGGGACAGACTGTCCCTGGACCTGGTCTGAAGGCAGTTTCCCTAGGAACGCATTAATTGATTTTCAATGCATTCCTATGGGAAACCGTGCATCGCAAGACGAAAAACTCGCAAGACGAAGAGACTTGCGGAACGAATTAATTTCGTCTTGCGAGGCACCACTGTAACTATCACTAATCTGGTTGAGGATTTGAATGAGCAATCATGTACCTTTAAATCACTTCCTCCTTCTCTCCCTGTCTCCAATCTAGAACAGTCTTTTTACAAGTTTTCTTTTAACAAGAAAAGGCATATTTGTGCTCTTGGATAAAATTTTAAAAATCACTTAGTGTGCATTGTTCCCTGTTCTTATAAAAAAACACAAAGATTAGGATCCAAGTACTTACGTTAGGAAATACTTCTTTGCTAAAATCAGGTATTCGGAAGCATGAAGTATCTATAATTTGCAAAAATAACGGAGAAGGTTTTGTATGTCCTTGAATGAAACATAAGTGTGGCCACATACAGAGCTTCTGAATATTACTAGTTTATTGGTTTATTACTGTGCATTTATTTTGCTTCAAGCTTATTTTCAAGTCATGCTTTCCTTTACACTTGTTTTCTTGTGTTTGTTTACTTGTTGAATAGGTATGGATCTTTGATGGCCCTGGAGGAAGTGGTAGATTGCTGAGATTCCGAATGGGCCACAGTGCACCTCCAACAAAAATCAGATATCATGGGCAAAATGGGCAGCAAATTCTCAGTGCCGGTAGGAATTCTACAAGCTTCCTGTTATGTTGAAATGAGTAATACTGTTTTTGGATCAAGTCACATGAAGTTCAGTTTCTCGTGATTAAGGATTAGTCATAGGCCAGCCAATTTATCTCTGACTTGTTTGGTTTTGGTCCAGTATGCAGGTTGGATCTTGAACATAGTTTTACCTTTTTCAATTGCTGCTACTTAAGTTCACAAAAATACTAGGAGTTTCAATTTCAAATTGAAGTCTTGGTTTTCTTGTAAAAGTTGGCCCCTGTCCAAAATAACGTAATACAATAAGCCCACAAGTTGTGCACGCGTTACTTAATGTGATTAGAACATTGTGTGGGGGGGAATGAATGAATGAATGAATGAATGAATAAATAGCCATGGAAACCCACCATTCTCTGATCTTTCATTTATTTATTTCCCCACCGGCACCAGCACACCCAGCTATATCTTCCTCTCTTACAAGCATCCCATAACCCTCATACCACCTCACCAAAGTCCAGTAAGCATGGTCACACCTTCCTTACCAGCCTCTGGGAAGGAGGTGTGTAAGCTCTGGGAGCATCCCAGAGGCCAGTAAGGAAGGCACCCTACTCACACTCAGGACCCTCCCACGACCTTCGCAGACCCTAATAAGCATCTCTCCGCCTGCGGGGGGGGGGGGGGAGGTCGGGGGGCGTTCCTGACTTTGTGCGATTTTGCCTTTGTGTTCAGACCCCCGGAACTGAACCATTGTGTAAGTAGCGGGCCCATGTAATTTAACACTGCATTAGGAGATAATTTCAAGCTTTGTTGATTGGTTATTAACCAATAGGACACACTGCTGGCGGAATGAATTCCTCCCTCTCCTCTGCAGCCCATCTCCTCCCCCAAAAAATATACTCAGAAGGGTTAGACGATCCTCCGGAGAAGAGAGGAGGGGGAGGCATGTCAGTGGTGAGACGTTGGATGCAAAAGCAAGGTTTTCTCCAACAATTTCTAGAACGGTTTGCATTTAAAAGTTGCCTAAAATGAACTGATGCATAGGTATACCTACATATTTTTTTTTATGTTCTCCTGTAGGACAAGATAGTACCTTGCAGTCATTTTCCACGGTGCATGAGCGATTCAATAAAAGCTTAGGACGCGGTGAGTGGGACTACGCAATGCATAATCAAATGTCTGTGAAGGTATTTTGGTGTATTGAACCTGTACGGGTGCTAAAATATTGTGCAGCTGCTCGGTTCACCCAGATTACTTACAGTTTCTAGCTGCACTTCGTATGCGCTCAGACTCTTGTTGTTTAATGACTGGTAAACAATCCTGAACCAGAGGAAATAATATTCTGTAAAGAAAGTTCTATTGAAATGAGTGAAATTTCTTATGATAATTTTTGTTTGTTTGTGCTTTTGAAACTTAACACCTGATCCTAATTTCAGTGTAATTTTTCTTTTGACGTAGTATTGGGTGGTGGTGTGGCAGTTAGGAAACAGCCTTCCCTTAGACTTAATATGTTCAAACTGTCAGTGCCTGCTGTACATTTGTGTCATGTTTCTCATCTCTTGAAGGTTCCATAAATAAAAAGAAATCAAAAAGGAAAGGACTCCGGTATGATACAATGGCTCTTCCACCTATTACAACATTTGCTACAGGTGCGTAATTCTTTGCTTGTCTTGAATGAATGAGGTAATATGACATCAAGTCTCCCCCCCCTTCCCCTGCCCCCATTGAATAGCATCTTACGTGGCTGATGAGATTCCAAGTAAATCTAGAATGACGTGCATTGGGGAAAACAATGCACACTGATGGGAACCAAAGTGGCTGTGACTATCCAGAAAAGTAATTGGTGGATGGCTCAGTGAAAACACTAACTCACTACGCAGTTGTGTTGAAAAGGTCAAATCCCATGTTGGAGGTGATTATAGAGAAGAGATTGAAAATGAAAGGCTCCTCTAATAATGGCTATGTACAGAAATCTACAGTGCAATTCTTAGCAGCCTATTTGTAGATTTAATTTATGGCGTTTGCTGCCACGTCGTGTTGTGATGGGCGCTGGCTGACCTCACATTAAAAGCAGCATAGACCAATTCATGGAGGGCGGAACTATCTAGGGCTGTTGGCTATGACAATGAAATGGGACTTATTGACTAGGTGGCAGTGTGCTGCAATTAGATGTTGGAAGCAGGACCCTGGACTGCATAGACTACTAGTCTGATTCCACAGCGCTGCTCTTAAGTTGTTTTTTCTACTCTCAGTGCAACAAGTTCCTCCGGCCTGGTGGAACGCTCTGTCTCATGAGACCAGGGCCCTGCAGGATCTGATTTCTTTCTGCAGGGCCTGTAAGACAGAGTTGTTCCGCCTGGCCTTTGGCTTGGAGCCAATTTGATTCCCTCCCTCTCTTTTTTCTTTTCCTTTCTCCTCCTGCGATGAGGCTACATTTTAATATTTTAATGTTTCAATATTTTAATGTATTTTAATTTTGTTTTTAAGTTGTAATCATTCAACTTGTTTTTATTATTGCTTGTTAGCTGCCCTGAGCCCAGCCTTGGCTGGGGAGGGTGGGGTATAAATAATAATAATAATAATAATAATAATAATAATAATAATAATAATAATAATAATAATTAATAGTGCTATAGGTTGTTCTTACAATATTCATTCTGTTAAAGGTTAAGTGGGTAGTTTCCCATAAGCAGAGCCTGCTGTATCAGGCCAGTATCCCATCTGGTCCAGCATGCTGCTCTTACAGGGGCCAAGCAGATGCCCGTGGGAAACTAGGGAGCAGAACATGAACACTCATGCACCCCCCATGTGGTTTCCAGCAATTGGTATTCAGAAGCATTGCTGCCTCTAGCTGCAGGGGATAGAGCACAGTCGTCATGGCTAGTCCACCATGAATTTGTACAGTCCTCCTTTAAAGCCATCCATAGTTGGTGGCCTCCTGGGGAGCAACTTCCATCGTTTGACGGACTCTTTACCGTTAGGATAATGGCAGACATGGAACCCTTGTACTGTAACCATGTACAGTGGTACCTCGGGTTACATACGCTTCAGGTTACAGACTCCGCTAACCCAGAAATAGTGCTTCAGGTTAAGAACTTTGCTTCAGGGTGAGAACAGAAATCGTGCTCCGGTGGTGCGGCAGCAGCAGGAGGCCCCATTAGCTAAAGTGGTGCTTCAGGTTAAGAACAGTTTCAGGTTAAGTACGGACCTCCGGAACGAATTAAGCACTTAACCCAAGGTACCACTGTATTAAATTAAACAACTGCTAAACAATTGTTATAAAATGTGTGCAAAGCTATTTTTCCATGGGACAATTGCTTCTTGATTAAGAGTTGTGCCTTTTAACGTATTTTGATTGTGTTACAGAGGTCGCCCGTCAAAGTGACTGGGATGGGATCATTGCTTGCCATCAAGGATTTCTAAGCTGTACTACCTGGAATTATCAGAAAGGGTCAATGGGAATTCATAAACTGACGCCACAAGACTTCAGCAAAAATAGACCTCTTGGTGTATATGCAACAGTAAGGGTTGTTTTTAACTGATTGAAGGATATAGTTCTGTTGTTGTTTTTAAGTGTACAGAAAAACCCGCTCATAATTCAGAATGACATAACCAAGATAGGTTGATGTTGTTGTTGTTAAAAGCAGTAATATATTTAAAATACAATAAACCAGATGCACAAACAGAGAGCCATCGCTGAAAGGGCCCATTCTTGTTTACCTAAGACTTTAGGGCTTAATTGGAGGGCAGTTAGGTATGTCTGTGGTTGGTTGGTTGGTTGAGTGGACTTATATGCCACTTTTCCACAAAGCGGCTTACAGGAAACATCCAAAATGTCAAAATGCAAGCATACGAAATACAGAGAGCATGTCAGTAAATTCAGAAATGACAAAAATCAACAATTTGCTGCTGTTTGACTGTTAAATTCGGTATTACAAGGAAAAAAGCAGTCTAGGTTTAAGTACATAAATACAAAGAAAGCAAGTGTTAACTGACAAGAAGGGTTCTCGTTCTGGTCTTTGTGCACACCAGAGAGCCTGGCTTAACTACAGCTCAGAGGGGAAGGGACTTCTCATCAGGCTAAGTGACATACAACTGCCGCTCATACGTTAACTCCAGAGGAGACTGGCAGCAGCAGCAAAAGGCAAATGCTTGAGAAGGCAATGATGGCCAGTCTCTTCCCCTGCCTCGAAGTTACCACTTCTGGTAACTTCTGTTATTGCATTGTAAATTGCTCTGACACACTTTAGGGTAAAGTGGCAAGTAAGTAAAGTCAAACCTCGGTTCCAGAACGCCTCTGTTTTGGAACGTTTCAGCTCCCAAACGCCGAAAACCCAGAAGTAACTGCTCTGGTTTTTGAACGATTTTCGGAAGCTGGACATGCTTTTTGGAAGCCCTTTTCATTTTTTCCCATTGACTTTGCAGCCAGCCCATTGATCCTTGGTTTTTGAACTTTTTGGAAGCCGAAACGATCTTCCAGAATGGATTAAGTTCGAAAACTGAGGCTCCAGTGTATGCTAAATCACAATAATAGCAAGAATTTTTCTTTATCTGAACATCTCAGTAGTTTTTTGAAAGTAGAATCAGTTTGTATTGAATAGTGTCTGTTTAAACAGTTAAGAAGCTGACATTGTTAATCACAAATATTGGAAGTAAGATTTCAAATATTTGCTTCTATTAAAAAAAAACTTGTTTCTTTCTCTTTCCCCAAAAGGCAGTAGATATCAGTTCCTGCGGAAACTTTGCTGTAATTGGACTTTCAACAGGACATGTGGATGTATACAACATGCAGTCTGGCATTCACAGAGGGCGTTATGGCAAAGAAAAAGGTGAAAATAGGGCACTTAGAAAACATTCTGGTTGAAATCCAGTGCTGCCTTTTCTGTTGCAGAATGTCTTTTGATCCAGCCAAGGCATCTGCTAATGTGCAAAAATGGGGGGAAGGCAGAGATTTTTGTCAGTCCCTTCTCTCTGCTGCAACACTCTGTGGCCACCAAAAGTCTGCTCTAGAAGGCTGGAGGACCCTATACAACAGTTTGGAAGATCGCATAAGTGAGAGGCAGGGTGTCAGTGAAATTTCCCTCCCCATATCTTAAATTAGTGGGTGCCTCAGCTGAATCAAAAGCTGTTCCACGAGCGGACAGCTGCATCGGAGTTTACCCTCTTAACAACAGTTTCAGTGTTGTTGAGACTCTGGATCGGAAATACACCCTCAGAATGCTCTCCTGTAACAATATGGCTATTACTGCTACACAGAGAATGGGATGTGCTGGCTTGTGTTTGCGCAACATCTGTAGTATTTGCCATGTGATTTTCGAATATGCGTGTACACGAGGAAAGCATATGCATATAGGGATGTAGGAGAACATGTCCAACTGCAAGCACAATCTTTATTTTGTATTGCAGAGGGTGAGCATAAGCCAATGAGCCCTTTTCGGCACATTGTTGTTGTTGTTGTTGTTTAGTCGTTTAGTCGTGTCCGACTCTTCGTGACCCCATGGACCAGAGCACGCCAGGCACTCCTGTCTTCCACCGCCTCCCGCAGTTTGGTCAGGCTCATGTTCCCCAGTAGCATGTTGGACACCTTCCGACCTGAGGGGCTCATCTTCCAGCGTCATAACTTTTATATGCCTGTTGTCTTTGTCCATGGAGTTTTCTTGGCAGGGATACTGGAGTGGCTTGCCAGTTCCTGCTCCAGGTGGATCACGTTTGGTCAAAACTCTCCACTATGACCTGTCCATCTTGGGTGGCCCTGCACGGCATAGCTCATAGCTTCTCTGAGTTATTCAAGCCCCTTCGCCACGGCAAGGCAGTGATCCATGAAGGAGTTTCGGCACATACTGTGTGACAAATTTCCGGCTGCATTTTCAAACGTATGAATGTTGCCAGCAGATTAAATTGAGCCTTTGGATTTGATGTGCTGCAGAGAAGAGGCAGGAAGGTTTTGCACAACACTGACCTTTGGTTACAGCTCAGGGGTGGGTATCCTGTCACCTTCCAAATACTGTTGGAGTTCAACATACAACTCTCATCAGCCCCAACTGTTATGGCCACTGGTCAGGGATGGAGCAAGTTGTAGTTTAGCAAAATTTTGGAGGCCCTGCTATGGTCAGACAACAGCTAGATGGATCATTGCATGCCTGTATATTATGATGGCAATAAACCATCAATAACAAAGGTGCATATTGTTACTTCATACTGGAGTAGGGAGATGCTTCTGATACACATGCCTGCCTTCTGCATGCACAGTGAGTTGTTAAGTCGTCTTTGCATTAACAAATTTGGGGTTCCAATTTCATAAGATAGTGTGTCCCTTGTGCATTTGGTGGCATGGTTTAGCCATGCAGAATGAGGAAGGAAGCTTTACTCAGGATCTCAGTTCCGCGGTGAACACAATGTACTGCACTACAGGAAAAATATGACAGAAAGTGAATTTGATTAACCGTGGTATGGTATCTATCTATTCCTGAAGGATGTTATATTGTTCTTAGATTGTGAGCAGTGTTAAGGATCTGTATATAAGTTTATAGTAATAAATAGTTGGATGACGCCAAATTAAGGTGGTGGAATATTAATTGACTCTTTTTCTTTGCAATTAAAGCCCATGAAGGCTCCATAAGAGGAGTAGCCGTGGATGGATTAAACCAGCTGACAACCACAGCAGGAAGTGAAGGATTGATCAAGTTCTGGAACTTCAAGAGCACAAAATTGGTTCACTCTATTAACCTCCCTTCTTCTCCAAGTAAAATGTTGCTTCACAGAGACAGGTGGGATTATTGCAAGATGTATTCTTTTTAATAACTTCTCTTCAGCGGTGATATTTTCATAATTCATATTTGCAGAGCACAGTTGTACTAAAAGAGTTTCACCCCTCCTAATTTCTGAAATATGTGCCGCCTCCCTAGTTTCTTCATTTAGACAGGGTCTTCTTGAGGGTGGCCCCGCAGCTGCAGGCCTCCCTTCCAATTAAAATTCACTTGGCCTCTTCAGCTTTGACATTCAAGAAGGCTTTAGAAAGCGGGTGGCTAACCTTTTCTGGTCCAAGGGCTGCATTGAAGGTTAGTCATTCACACAAACATATGCATGCATGCAAATAGAGCACACAAAACCCTAGGCATGCAGACCTGACATCCATGGACACAGGTGATGAATAGAACCATTTCCTTCTGCTGTGATACAGCTTATCTTTCAAAGGTGGCTCTTTTCCTGCTGGCATGGCACCGCTATTAGGAGATCTTGCCAGTCATGAGCAGGAGAGTGTGCTCCTTCCTTCCCTGTCCCCCGCCCCACCGGCCTGTAAGACCTAACAGTGATGCCAGAAGAAGAGGAGACACATTTGCAAAGTGAAGAGGTGCCTGAGTCTGCCAGGGGCTGGCAGACAGCTGGCATTGGCTTGGCAGGCTGGATCTGGAGCCACTCTTGCTTTAAAATCTTTACTGCGGCCTTTCCTTAAGAGAAAGGGTCCCATCTTGGTTGTCTGTATGCATTCAGTGCTTAGTACAGTGGTACCTCAGGTTAAGTACTTAATTCGTTCCGGAAGTCTGTTCTTAACCTGAAACTGTTCTTAACCTGAAGCACCACTTTAGCTAATGGGGCCTCCTGCTGCTGCTGCTGCGCCGCCGGAGCACGAGTTCTGTTCTTATCCTGAAGCACTATTTCTGGGTTGGCGGAGTCTGTAACCTGAAGCGTATGTAACCTGAAGCGTATGTAACCCGAGGTACCACTGTATTTTGTCTGATGTTCCATTGTTTTTATTTCTCCGTATGCTGCTTTGTGAAAAGCAACAAATAAATAACTGGAATAATCTTAACTGATGAAAATAATAAAATTATGGTTGTAATTAGGTTCTTACCCCTTACACATCCAACCCACTACAGTCACCTGTCCATTTTGCTCATTATGCCCTGCTTATATCCAGCTTTTGCCTGTCCTTTCCCCTGTGAAAACATTTAGGGTAGCCTTACTCTAAACATCTATTGGGGGTTTCCCCTAAAGTTTGTGTTCCAAGAATATCAATAACAAAGAAGCATAATGCATTTATTTATTTTTTTGCCTCTTCCTTAACATGTATTTGACATTCTACTTTATATTCTTCTTGATTTTACCAGTTGCATTCTGGGAATTGTTACGGATGACTTCACCATTAGCGTCCTGGATATAGAAACACGAAAAATCGTGAGGAAGTTTTCAGGGCACCAAGGCCAGATAAATGACCTGGTAAGTTTGTATCTATTTACTATCAGTTGTGTAGAGGTTACGTACCGCCAGAGTTCATCTACATTGGGCAGGCAACGTACTGACCTCCAGATTTTATAGACTGTAATTCCCATCATCCCCAGCCAACATAGCGAATGGTTAGGGAGAGTGGAAGTTGCAGCCCACAGTATCAACAGGGTACCATGCTGCCTATCATCATGTTAGATCTTTGAGGTTTGTGCCGAAACAAATGCATATTCTTGTATGTGGGTCAGTTGATTTGGGGTCACCTAATCCTTTAGCAAGAGTGAATTATAATAAATGATCTGAATGGATACAGTTGCTATGTGCTAACTTCAACATTTTCCTAAGTATTCTTCAGCTTTGAATATATCCAACAACTCAATATTGAAATGCATTTTTGTTGCTAGTGTAGCTAGAGTATCATCCCAATTCTTTTTTAAAAATATTCATTATAATTTATAAAATATAAAATACAATGATTGCAAGGGTATATCAAGTAAGTACCTGTTCCTGTAATACCATATATATGTGTGTGAGTTTGTGTGTATCATGCAGCTACAAATACCAATATTATAAATCCAAAAATTATAACACATTAATTTACTGCATAGATAAATGGTTGTAATCAGTACAGTGGACGCTTGGGTTATGAACGTGATCCGTGCGGGAAGCACGTTCGCACCCTGCAGCGCCATGTCTGCGCACGTGCAGGTTGCGATTCGGCGCTTCTGCGTATGCGCGACCTCCGAAACCCGGAAGTAACCTGTTCCGGTACTTCTGGGTTTTGGCGCAACCTGAAGCGTCTGTAACCTGAGGTATGACTGTATCATATTGTATCTAGTCTTCATGAATTCAATTAAGGGATTCCATTTATATTCAAGTTTTCTCTCTTACTTACCATATTTCAGCCATATTAATTCTTTATGCCAACCTCGCTTTTTGCCAGGCTTTCTTTCACTGTTGCTGGTGGCTTTATTATTCCATTTTTGCAACACAACAAGCATACAGTGGTACCTCGGGTTACAGACGCTTCAGGTTACAGACTCCGCTAACCTAGAAATAGTACCTTGGGTTAAGAACTTTGCTTCAGGATGAGAACAGAAATCGTGCAGCGGCGGCGGCAGTAGGCCCCATTAGCTAAAGTGGTGCTTCAGCTTAAGAACAGTTTCAGGTTAAGAATGGACCTCCGGAACCTGTTGACGTATTTTTCGCCCCATAGGACGCACTTTCCCCCCTCCAAAAATGAAGGGGAAATATGTGTGCGTCCTATGGGGCAAATGCAGGCTTTCGCTGAAGCGTGGAGAGCGAGAGGGGTCGGTGCGCACCAACCCCTCTCATTCTCCAGGCTTCAGGAAGCTGTCAGCAAGCCTGGGGAGCCTGCGGGAGTTCCCGCAGGGCTCCCTAGGCTTCGCGCAGGTGTCCGCAAGCCTTGCGAGCCCGGCGGGAGTTGCCGCCGAGCTAGCAAGGCTTGCGGATAGCAGCCTGTTCTGGGGGCTGGGGGGGGAATAATTTTTTTTTATTCATTCCCCCCCCCCAAAAAAGGAGGTGCGTCCTATGGGCCAGTGCGTCCTATAGGGCGAAAAATACAGTAAGTACCCGAGGTACCACTGTACTAGCAACAAGTGATAAATGCCATATTAGCTCCTTACGCTTGACCCATTCATCCAAATATCCTAGTAACATTGTCAGGGGAATCTGTGCAGCTGTTACTCAAAAGAGAAATATTTTTTTGTAGGCTTTCAGTTCTGATGGCCGCTGGCTAATAACGGCAGCTATGGACTGCACCATTAGAACCTGGGATCTGCCATCTGGGTGGTAAGTAAATTTAGAGATTGCAGAGAAACTGCTACTTTGATATGTTACATGTGTGTACTGACAAAAGAGCACAATCAGTTTTAAAAGCTTTCTATCTTATTCTTACTATGTATTAAATTTGTATAGCAGCCTTCAGCCAAAGATCACTGGGTGGTTCACAACATAAAAATAGAAAATGAAAACACAAAATACATAATAAGCAAGAACAGAAACGAACTGGTCTACTTGCAAATATCTTCATTTATTTGTGTTTTATTGCCTTTACGCCTGAGGATTGAATCTGCCCTGCCAAAAGGTACACAAGAATGATATCTTGTCATACTCAGTTTCCTGTCTCAGCTGGCAATATATTAAGGCACTTTTGCTTCATAGGTAGATGAGTTTCTTAAATTTTTATTTTTAATAGAAAATGGTGCTTGCAATGGCTGGTGCAGTTTGCAAGAGAAGTCGTGTGAGTGGGGGACTCCCCACCCAAATAACCCAGTGCTTCATCTGCTGTGGGGAAGTGGCACCTAGATGTAATTACAGTGCCCCCTTTCCGAAGAAAAATTCTACCATGATGCTAATCACGTGTAGGCTCCGAGTGCGGGGAGGAGAAGGGGCATCCAGCCCACTCACCCAAACAGAATATTACAGTGGTGCCTCGCAAGACGAAAAGAATCCGTTCCGCGATTCTTTTCTTCTAACAGTTTTTTTGTCTTGCGAAGCAACCCCATTAGCGGCTAAGCGTATTAGCGCTATTAGCGATTTAGCGCTATTAGCGGCTTAGCGGGCTTAGCGGCTAAGCTCTTAAAAGGCTATTAACAGCTTAGCTGCTTTGAAAAAGGGGGGGGAAGCGGGGGGGAATGGCGAGACTCGCAAGACGTTTTCGTCTTGCGAAGCAAGCCCATAGGGAACTTCGTCTTGCGAAGCGCCTCCGCGACGGAAAACCCTTTCGTCTAGCGGGTTTTCCGTCTTGCAAGGCATTCGTCTTGCGGGGCACCACTGTATGTCTTATGTTATATGGTAAAGGTTCTAACTAAAGTTAGAACGGGCAGCCCCTGCATTTCAGCAGAACTTGACTTTAATCATGCTAACTAATACTTGTTTGAACTTGTGTTTCTTCTCATTCACCTTAGGATGCACTGACATTTAAATGTTGCAACATTGCCCCACCAAAAAAGTCTCAGAGTTTCTTGTTATCATAACTTTTTCCAGATAGCAGTATGGATGTCAAATGGAAATGACAAAATGGTTCTCATACGTCAGAGGAGTTGTCCGTATGCAGATTAGTACACAATGTACTTGTTTTTCCGTTCCCTTATGCATACATTGAAACTATACAGTCTGATGATGCAACTCTTGATTTAGTTTGATAGCACTTCAGTTTTAATAGGAATGTACTGCAATACTAAACCAATTACGTTAACTAGCGTGACATAATTGGACTAACATTTAAGGTTTCTTATGCCTTCACAGTACATTGCCTTGAGACATATGTAAAAGGCATTTCATAAATTAAAAACAAATAATAATATCCAGAGCACACAACCACACACACATTGCAGTTTTTTTAATTTACCTGTACTTGGACTTCCAATGTTGCTTTCATTCAGATTTATTGTGTGTGTCTCCTTGCTGAAGAGTCCAGTCTGAGTTGGTTCTCCCTTCACCCTTGTATTTGATGCTATATAGGGCAGGAATGAAAAAGGATAGATGTTTTAAAGTTCAAACGGGACTTCGGCCAATTTGCAGGAAGAATAGGACTGATGAGCAGTTGCAGATTTGATTCTTGACCGCAATTGCACACTTCTTGAGTTGTCAGATTGGTCGGGCGTGCCCACCAAGTGGACACACTTTAAACTGTTTTACTATGATTTGCTTTCATTTGGTCTTACAACAGTCGGTTCTTTGTTTTCTTCCTTTGAGGCATCTGGCATAGCGACAAAGGGTAAAGGGGTAGCTTTGGTTCCAGATGGTCTGGAATACAGTTGTAGCTGCCAGTCATGCAGTCCTGTGTTCATCCTACTCATAATGGGCAATGCACGTCTGATAAAGTTGAGTTATAAGGCTCCACTAGACCCAGTGTATCCAATGCTCCATAGGCAGAACTCTGCTTTTGTAATACAGTGGTGCCTCGCAAGACGAAATTAATCCGTTCCACGAGTCTCTTCGTCTTGCGGTTTTTTCGTCTTGCGAAGCACAGCTATTAGCAGCTTAGCGGCTATTAACGGCTTAGCGGCTTTAAGAAAAAGGAAACAAACTCAAAAGAACTCACAAGACGTTTCGTCTTGCGAAGCAAGCCCATAGGGAAATTCGTCTTGCGGAACGACTCAAAAAACGGAAAACCCTTTCGTCTAGCGAGTTTTTCGTCTTGCGAGGCATTCGTCTTGCGGGGCACCACTGTATTCTCCTCCTCTGTGTCCCCAAAACATGCTCCAGAAGGTCCCCCAACCGTACAGAGGTGATTTCCCTGGGGAGCTGCAGGGAAGAGGAGACAAAAGTCTCCTGTGTTGAATGCCAACCAGTATTTTCCCCCCACCCAATATTTTTGTCATCACATTACATGGCCAGTTTAGTCTATTGGTAACATAAGGGAACGAATTGTAATTCATCACAATCACTACAGATTGATTTCTGTATGCTAAAAATCAAACATTACAAACTATCCCCACAATGAGTAAAAAGATTGACAAATTATGGGGATGCTTGTAGCTAAACTAAAGCATTGTATAAAAGCAAAAGAAAAGAGAAACACCGGATAACTTTTTTTTGAAGTTATAAATCATTTTTACAGGGTTTTTCAGGGTTTTGAATTTAACCATTATATTTTATTTTTGTTTTGTTAACCGTGATGTGGGACAGTCAACCCAGTTGTACTTAGAAAAGACCATATGTGTTTATCCTTGTATGTTTTTTGTAGATATCCATGTTTCTTAAATCTAATCCTCTGAACGCTCTGCTCCAACTGTCTGGAGAACTGAAGGGAATAATGTTCTGGCACCTTCTATCATCCAGAGCACTAAGGGCTGCTGGATCAGTTGCCTCACCTCTGTGCAAGCGAGATCACCAGCATCAGATCAAGCCTGGCCCAGCTGGATTTAAATGCCCCTTTATTCTGACATTTTCAAATTAATTTCCCATCTCTCCCTTTTCCCCACACTCCTACTCCCTAATACGGCTTCTTTTTTCGGTTTGTAATCCTGAACACATGAACTTGCCCTCTCTCCTTTTTAAAACGTTGAAGTGAACGTCTTTGGGAAGACTATACATTTGTCTGAAAAGCAGAATAAGAAGACTAATAATATAATGACTGGTAGTGGTTTCATGCATTTAATAAATGGTAACTGAACTATATATTATCTGTTATGTGATGAATTGTTTTTCTCTTTGCAGCCTTGTCGACTGTTTCCTACTAGATTCAGCAGCAGTAAGCATTACTATGTCTCCTACGGGAGACTTCTTAGCTTCTTCCCATGTAGATGATCTTGGAATTTACCTGTGGTAAGTCTTCCAGTGGTCTTCTGAGCATGTCCATGTTTAAAGCAGATCTATAAGACATCAGACTGCCCATTTCTATTGCTGCATTGTTCCATGGCACTTTAGTAAAAGGTGCAAGTTCTGCCCTTTGGAAAATTCCTCTGTAACTGCCCCTGCCTCTCAATCAGTTAAGTGTACTGGGACTGTTTTCCTAATATAATGAAATTCTAGACGCGTTTGCTTGGAAGCGAGTTCTGTTTATGTCAGTTGAAACTTGCTTTACATCAAGTAAGATTTTCCCTCCTCCACTTTTTGACTGTAATATTTTATCCTGTGTCAAAAACGACTTCTGAAATTGTATTTATCTTCAAAACCAGCTTGCCTTATGACATGGTGGGGCTCTGCTGTCCAGAAAGTAAGCTCAAAACGTTATTAGGAGCATCGGGGTAGTTGTTGTTCTTTGGATCCCAGTCAATATTCTTAGGACTGCGAACAATTTAGTTCTTAAAAAACAAACAAAAAAACCTTTAATTTAAACTACATTAAATCGAAAACAGTAATCATGCCAAATAGCTAAATACATAATAAATACAGTATACATACATTAACATTTTACAACATAGAAAAAGCTGTTGTATTAATCAACATTTGCATTATATTCTACATAAATATCAGTATGAGGAGTGCATTTAACTTCAAAATGTTCTCTTTCTGGTCTGCCATCTCTCACTCTTAACAACTTAGTTCTATAGCTTACATTAATCACTCATAGTTATAGCAGATAGATCCACAAAGAACATAACGTGCTTTCTTTCTCCTCTGCCCCCACCCCCAAGCCAAAATAACAATGCCTTCCATCTTGGATTTTACAGGTCTAACCGTTCGCTGTATTCGCTTGTCTCTTTGCGTCCGCTTCCACCGGATTATGAGCCTTCTGTAGTAACGCTTCCTGGAACATGTCCAGCTCAAGGTACTAGAGAAGGGAGTTGCTGAGGGTTTTTTTGGTCGTTAGTGTACTTTTTCTGAATCTCCTGTTTGTGTAATTGCAAAGTAACGGCTTGCATACTGTTACTAGGCCAGTGCAAAGTTGAATTCGTGAAAGATTCTACGCTCCCTTGTGTTCTGACATATTGTTCAACTTGAAAATCCTAGCGCAGAGACGAAGAACCTTTGGCTTCCTTGATGCTGCTAGACTACAACTCCCACCAGTCTTGACCAGCGGCCAGGACTGTAGAGGCTGATGGGACTTGGCATCCAGCAACATCTGGAGAACCACAGGTTCCTCACCCCTGCCCTAGAGGCAGCCCTGTTGAATCATACCAAAGGCTTATCTGGTTGAGCACCCGGATTCCCAAAGCGGCCAGCCAGATGCTTATGGGAAGCTCATAAGCAGAACATAGAATCAGAGACCCATAGAGTTGGATGGGATCCTGGGGATCATCTAGCCCAACCCCCGCAATGCAGGAATACATAGCTGTCCCACCCAGGGATCGAACTTGCAACCTTGCATTGTTAGCACCACGCTCTAACCAACTGAGCTAGCCAGCTGTACCAGCTCACAGCTACAAATGACAGCCTCCTCTGAGAGTGCATTGCAGTAATCTAATATTAAGCAGTTATGTGTGTAAGCTTTCAGATCAGATAAAAGAAAACAACAACACAGTCCTTAGCTGCTGATGTTAGCAGAGGGTATTTTTGAACCCGTCACAGGCTGCTTTTCCAGGCCCAGCTGCAGATCCAAGAGCATGCTAAGAGTGCAAACTTAAGGGGCTTCCCTTCCACTAGTCAGAGGATCTGTCAACTCAGCACTTCAGTCTTGCAGCGATCCAGGCCCTGCTTTTAAGTATATTTCTAACATATGGAGAAAATGAGCCACATTTAGATATTTATTTGGTACAAAACACTACAGAAACTACATTCTGCAAGAGGCGTTCCCATGCAATAGGCGAGACACTGATGTCTAGAGTCCGTGCAGATGTCTGGCAGTGCTTCCAGTTGCTGATGGTGCAGTCAGCATTCCGATAACTTGGATGATTTCTCCTGAATCATCTGACTTTGTGTAATGGTGAGAAAATGACACAAACAAAATATGTAACGAAACTGGAAGCAATCCAGATTCCTATCTATCCTGCAGATTCAAGTGCAGGCACTACTTTTGATTCATTCCCTGAAGCAGATTGGCACCTGTATGTTCTGTGAGTAATACCTTTCAAAAGAGGCATGAAAATGACGTCTTCGTTGCTGCCGATTCTGTGTCGTTCAGTGCACCGAGGGAGCTTCCACAGCTAAGATTTAGCAGCTAAATCAGATGAGATACCCTTTGCCGGCCCCCACTTATGCATTCTAGTTCTTGTAAAATTGAATAACTGTGCCTCTTAAAGAGAGGTGGTCAACCTTTTCTGACAAGAAGACCAGATCCTTATGTCCTTGACCTCTGAAAGGCCAACTTTGACAGATTGGGGGTAGGAGAAAAGTTAGTTAGACAACCAGATACATAGTGCAGGTATGAAACCCTTAGCCAAGGGGACACCATCCATTGTGAGGAATTTCAAGCATGGCTTTCCATTCATGCTACAGGAATGTGCCTCCTTGGCCATCATCTCTGGCTGTGTTCATCTTGTTATGTTCAACTGCATCTGAATTGTTTCTGTTTTATTGTCTTCACAGATTTGTGTGTGTGTGTGTATTTGTCCAGTAGCACCTTAGAGACCAACTAAGTTTGTTCTTGGTATAAGCTTTTGTGTGCATGCACACTTTTTCAGATACACTGCAATTTTGTGCATGCACACGAAAGCTTATACCAAGAACAAACTTAGCTGGTCTCTAAGGTGCTACTGGACCATTTTTTCCTATATTTCGACTGCGTCAGACCAACACGGCTGCGTACCAGAATCTAATATCATCCCAATGTGCTTGTGTAATTAACCAGCTGTGTTTATCTGAATGTCATTCAGGATCTACTGTCATTGGAATATTTCCCAACGTTGCTAAACGTTCCCCCCCCCCTGTCTGTTACCATTTTTAAAGATGTAGATGTCACAGAAGAAGAAGAAGAAATAAGTGATGAGATGATAGAATACGATTCTCCAGAACAGCTGGGAGAAGCATTAGTGACCCTTTCTATGTTGCCAAAATCTAGATGGAAGAACCTCCTCAATCTTGATATTATAAAGGTAGCATGTTCATGTTATTTTTTAAAAGGTTTCTGACCAGGACCTGTTGCTTTCGTTTTACATATTACGTGGTTGTGTTATGTTGAATGCAACAAAGACTTGACAAAATGTCTTCATAGTTTGGGATAACATCTAGGTTGTTTTTAGGGTATACAAATATCAGAAGTATTTTACACATAGTCAACCTCGATTTAACACACCAACTAAGATTCTAACGCTATCACAGATGTTAAGTTAATACATTTGGTGTTCTTAGGGTTACAGTGTGAATATGGAAATTGTCTGATGATATAAAATCTCCCATCCACAGCAAAAGAACAAACCCAAAGAGCCACCAAAAGTGCCAAAATCTGCACCGTTCTTCATCCCGACAATTCCTGGCCTCATACCACAATATGCTTCCATTGAACATGAAAATGGTGGACAACAGGTAAAGAGAAAGCTGATTGTACAAAACATCTGCATGTAGTACTTCTCTCTCTCTCTCTGTCTGTCTCTCTGGATTTATGACTGCCTCTTGGAAGTAATTTCTTACGTAAAGGTAAAGGTACCCCTGCCCGTACGGGCCAGTCTTGACAGACTCTAGGGTTGTGCACCCATCTCACTCAAGAGGCCGGGGGCCAGCGCTGTCCGGAGACACTTCCGGGTCATGTGGCCAGCGTGACATCGCTGCTCTGGCGAGCCAGAGCCGCACACGGAAACACCGTTTACCTTCCCGCTAGTAAGCGGTCCCTATTTATCTACTTGCACCCGGGGGTGCTTTCGAACTGCTAGGTTGGCAGGCGCTGGGACCAAACAACAGGAGCGCACCCCACTGTGGGGATTCGAACCACCGACCTTTCGATCGGCAAGCTCTAGGCTCTGAGGCTTTTACCCACAGCGCCACCCGCGTCCTACAATTTCTTACATAATGGGTTCTAAATCACTGGTGAATTGCAGTAACTGATCTTGGTCCTACTGTATTTTTATAGCATTTCCCCCCCTTCGATTCTCTATTCCCACTTACAACATCTTTGATAAAAGCACAAAGTTTTGGCACCTCAACTGCACAATTACTGGGTATTAAAGTGATGATGTGGATAATTATCTGCAATCTAATACTTGAAACTGGTACTTAAATATTGGGCAGCTTCATCATATATAGAAAGAACTTGCTGTTCTGTCATATCTAAGACCGCTTTCTCACTGAGGTTTAATCCTAAATACATTGTTAAGTATTACATAGATGAATCTCTAGTCCTCATCTATCTTTAGCTTTCTGAAGAGTCCTTCTAGAAATCCTTGTTTTGATTTCTCCAGATGCCCTTTCTTCCATTGTTTTTATGTGATGCATGTTTTCCCATGTGTGTGCATGTACACATGCATGTCTTCAAAGGAGAAGTGCCTGTGTAAGGATATTCATCTTACTGGGTGAGATTCCTCCTAATTATGCCATTCTTCTATATGGCATTGTAATTTAAAGAGTACAGAACTAAATTAATTCAGCATTCAAAATCCCTCCTTTTAATTCTCGTAAGGGTGTTACATTTAAAATTTCATCTACCTATATTTGTAAAAGTTGTCTTTCATGCAATTCAACTGACAACCTTTTTTATATTTCAGTCAAAAGTAGTAAACCTTGGAGTGCTGGCACAAAAATCTGAGTTCTACCTGAAGCTTGAAGAAGCTCTGATAAACAGTGACTGTAAGTTATAATATGAAATGAATAAATTTGCATCCCTACAAGGTGGAGGGAGAAGGTGTACTTTATTTCCCTTTTCTCCATATATTATAGTGGTAGTGAATTGGGCTTCTTAAGGCTGGAATAACGTGTCTTCAGAATAGATATTGGGAGAAAGGATACCTTATCTTGGCTTGTTGGCGGATGCAATTTCAGCACGGTACAGTGTGTGCAGAACACTTTAGCTTCTTTAAAAGAGCATTCCCTAAGGGGACATCAGCTTTACAAATTCTTCCAATATGTTGAACTCAGTATTACACATTAGGAAAAGGTTAAATGTCTTGGGTCCTCTTAATCCCCATTACTCCCATTAAGTTGTGATGGTGCTGCTACTGTGCTTTTGATCCTTATTAAATCATCGGTTCCTGGGATGCCTTGGGAAAGAGTTGACCTGTTAATTGTGGTAACAGTCGGGCTAGTTACAGAAGTCCTTCTTTCAAAGCAATACACACCTAGCATACCCCAGAGCCAATTTCACAATAATTCGACTTTTTGAAGCATTCATTCCTTTAGGAAATTCCTTTAGGGCATATCAGAATTCCATTGTATAGATCTGACATTGTTTATGTCAGAACTTCTGCCCTGATGAAAGGTTAGCTGAAGGCCTTTTAAAAAAATGCAGGCAAGCAATAGCAGGGAACTGGAATGTGTAAAGTGCTCTGGTTTTAAAGGGTTAATCAAGAAAGCCAGATGGGAAGGAAAACCTAGGTAGAGAATAAATTTTTATTTATTAAATAAATTTTATTAAATAAATTTTTATTTAGGGCAGTTTGCAAACCAAGATTCTTTGGTCAGTGATAATTTGGAACTACTCCACTCCTACTGTTCTGACCTGTGTTTGAAATCAGCTTGGTCCCAGGCTCATTTTGCACTTGGCTTTTGACCACCAAGAGAAAATGCCTGGGCTATCTCCACCATCTTGGGATCATTGGATCTGGACTGTTTTCACACACTAAAACCCCATCCTGTAGAATTGTATCAGATATATATATGTTTTTATCTGCACAATCGAAATGGATTTCCGGAACCCGGTTGCTTTTTTCCTGTGCAGCCTGAGCAGCAGCAGTCACCAAGAAAAAGAGGTCGGAATAGGCCTCTATATATATATATATATGGGCTGTCCCTGGATCAAGTGACTTTCCTTGTTTAAGTTCTCAAAGCTCTTAACCTAGCTCAAGGTTGTCATCTGAACTAGCCAGATGGTTAACTGGCTAGTTTCCATTGTTTTCCCATATTGCTGTAGCAACAGCCAATCAATGCCAGCCCTTGCCACAGCCACCAATTGACACGCCAAATAGCCACTGACAATCTCCGACTCGCGGCAGCAACCAATCCCACGTCACCACTATGCAATATCCTTGTATAAGACGAACCCTGAATTTTAACGCAATTTTTCAGGAAACCATCCTAGTCTTATACACGGAAAAGTACGGTAAGTGGAGGGGTCCATATGTACAGCTGGAGCCTCCCGCTACCAAAGAGGCAAGGTTTCAAATGGCATGACTTTGGGAAATAAAGGTAAAGGTACCCCTGCCCGTACGGGCCAGTCTTGACAGACTCTGGGGTTGTGCGGCCATCTCACTTAAGAGGCCAGGGGCCAGCGCTGTCCGGAGACACTTCCGGGTCACGTGGCCAGCGTGACAAAGCTGCATCTGGTGAGCCAGCGCAGTACACGGAAACGCCGTTTACCTTCCCGCTGGTAAGCGGTCCCTATTTATCTACTTGCACCCGGGGGTGCTTTCGAACTGCTAGGTTGGCAGGCGCTGGGACCGAGCAACGGGAGCGCACCCCGCCGCGGGGATTCGAACCGGCGACCTTTCGATCAGCAAGCCCTAGGCGCTGAGGATTTTACCCACAGTGCCACCCACGTCCCCACTTTGGGAAATAGGGATCTTCTTTTCCCCACAAAATAAGGGTCAAATAAAATTCCACCAGCTTGTGCTGTTCTCTTAATTGCATAAAATGAACGATTTGGCTTATGACCAAATTGTTGAATGGTGCAGGGTATAGGATAACTATTTAAAACACTGAGCTATATATAGAGAGAGAGATGTAGATACACACGCACACGCACACACACACACACATATATATATATAATATACATATGCATATACATATACCCACACACACACCATTTCTGTAACACTTTCTAGAACTTGTAGCCATATTCTTCCTGTTTTGACAGATAAATCTCCGCTCCGTATTCTGAAGGACATGGGACCATCTAACACAGAGGCAGAACTGAGAGGCTTGTCCCCCGATGGCGGTGGCTCTGTTAGGGTGATGCAAAGCTTCCTAAGAATGATTGAGGCCACGCTGACCACGAAATGCGACTTTGAACTGGCTCAGGCATACCTTGCGTTGTTTCTGAAGGTAAATGCATCATTTGATACAATTGCTAGTGACATTCTGTTTGCTTACCGTAGAAGCCCCCAATCTGAATGTGCTGGGGGTGGGGGAGACACACTTGGCAATGAATAAAGAATGACTGACAGCATCCGTTCCTTTTTGCAATAGCATTTCCCCCTACTGAAACTTTCATTATTGCTGTGTGATAGCACTGCTTGGCCTTACAGTGCTCATCTGAGGGGAGTTACTAATATGAGTTACTTACTTTGATCACAGGTAGGTAGCCATGTTGGTCTGCCGTAGTTGAAACAAACAAAATTCCTTCCAGTAGTACCTTAATGGTAAAGGTAAAGGGACCCCTGACCATTAGGTCCAGTCGTGACCGACTCTGGGGTTGCGGCGCTCATCTTGCTTTATTGGCCGAGGGAGCCGGCGTACAGCTTCCGGGTCATGTGGCCAGCATGACTAAGCCGCTTCTGGTGAACCTGAGCAGTGCACGGAAATGCCGTTTACCTTCCCGCTGGAGTGGTACCTATTTATCTACTTGCACTTTTGATGTGCTTTCGAACTGCTAGGTTGGCAGTAGCACCTTAGAGTCCAACTAAGTTTGTTATTGGTATGAGCTTTCATGTGCATGGTATGAGCTTTCGTCTGAAGAAGTGTGCGTGCACACGAAAGCTCATACCGATAACAAACTTAGTTGGTCTCTAAGGTGCTACTGGAAGGAATTTTATTTATTTTGTTTTTACTTTGATCAGTTTGTGAAACATTGGCATCGTGTTGAGGATATTTACCAACTTTTATAAATAATAATAAAAAAGTGATGTGGTGGTTTAACACAGTAATAAAGAAATTTAAGAAATGTGTTCCTTAAAATTTGCTTTATGTAATTAATTTCATGCTTCCATTTCAGTTGCACTTAAAAATCCTTTCATCAGAACCAGATCTGCTGGCAGAACTATCCAGACTGTCACCCCAGCTTGAAGAAATTTGGGTGCATTTACAGACTCTTTTCAACCAAAGCCTTTGCATTTTAAATTACATGAAGACTGCTTTGTTGTAACATTCCCTTTGTTCTATAAGAATGCCCAGTTTAATGTACAAATCAAGTTTAATAATGGATATTTTCTCTCTTAAGTTTCAGAAAAGGTAACTGTACAGCTTGACTTGGTAACTTTATTTTGTACAAATTTAAACATGAATCTGTGCTACCTTCACAGATAAAGTGTGCTTTTATTATTGTGTAAATGACTGCTGAAACAGTAAAGTTCCCTGTCAAAAATTACGATATAGTCAGTATGGTAAAACACTCAATATGCAGTTATAAATCTAAATAAATTTTAAGAGGTGATGTCTGATGAATTATTTGGGTACATTGATGCTGGACAGGTGTGGCCCTAGTCACTACCTAGCAGTAGACCATGTAAGAGTAGGATAATAAAAATGGTAAAGATGCAAAATTCTGTGTGCTGAAAAACACTTTTTGTATATTGAACAGATGTCTGCAAGAGCTGCAAAATTTAAATTTCTTTAATGACTAACAAAAATAATGTTGTGCATCACCTTAAACCAATTTGGATGTTTTCATAAATCATAGACACCACAGAATGCAGCATAAACTTGCCATATAAGCTATATTATGCAAGTTTCAATTAAATGTTACATTACTGCAAGAAGTTAGGTTACTGGGAACTAGGCAGAGGACCTTCTCAGTAGTGGCACCCACCCTGTGGGACGCCCTCCCAGCAGATGTCTAGAAGCTAAATAACTATGGAACTTGTAAAAGACATCTGAAGGCAGCCCTGTATAGGGAAGTTTTTAATGTTCGATGTTTTGTTTTGCTTTTGTTGGAAGCCACCCAGAGTGGCTGAGGCAACCCGTTCTGATGGGCGGGGTACGAATAATAAAATTATTATTCTTATTATTCTTGTGTGTTTACTAATTCAGTCCATTATTCCTAAACTAAAAAGGCCATTAGAATTTCAACCATGGAAGATACTTTGCCTTTTTAAACTTTTCACTGGATATTGATTTAGTAATACATAAATACTGTTTGGAAAGAATATTGAAAACCCAGCTCTAGAATTACACAGAATTCTATTTACAGTGGAACAACAACTTTTGCTGCATTTAAAATTTAATGGCAAGTCAGACAGGATTTTGTGCAAGATTTGGGGGGTCCTTAAAAGTGTGGAGCCCAGGGCATTTTCCCTCAGTTTAAGTCAAAGCACTGATTGTAACCCAGACACCATGGGAAGAGCTTTCTCAGGCAGGGCCAATACTAACCAGATTAGAGTAGCCACAAACTTTGATCAAATGTCTTTAGATCTTTTTGCACCTAACAAATTGGACTGTCATGCTTGTGAGTAGAACCCTTGAAATAAATGGGTCTTGTTAGTCAAGGCTTAATTTCAAGGGCTGTTTTCTAAGCTGGACCAAGTTTGGATCTAAGCCAATAGTTACAAATTGTAGCAAGCTGATAAGACGAATGTTGAATAAAGTAAGAAGATAAACTTGTGCATAATTCTTTGAATAAACTTTAATAATATTTAGGCACTTGTTCTAGGAAGTACAGTGGTACCTTGGGTTACAGATGCTTCAGGTTACAGACACCGCTAACCCAGAAATAGTACCTTGGGGTAGGAACTTTGCTTCAGGATGAAAACAGAAAGGCCCCATTAGCTAAAGTGGTACCTCAGGTTAAGAACAGTTTCAGGTTAAGAACGGACCTCCAGAATGAATTAAGTTCTTAACCCAAGGTACCACTGTACTTGGTGAGGCCCATTATTTTAATACTTTACCTTCAGAACAGTAACTTGGAAATAGGCCTTTGTGTAACTTGTAACTAGAAATTGTTACATTTTGTGCCATTTTGTTACAGTTGAAGGGGCAAGACTTTCTTAGACTCCTTTTAGCTACGATTTTGGTTCAGTGTTCAACTATATGTCAGTGATAAACATCAAGAGCACAGCAGCTTCAATGCTCAACGCATGTTGGTGGTCCTACTCAACATTTTATGAAGAAATATATGAAATCTTGTCTGAGGGATGAATGGCTCAGGGAAATGATATTTTGGTTTTTAAATTTTATATTCTTTATAAAAAGTACAAAATTGCAAGTGCACAGAGTAAGATAAGACACAGAAATAAGAAGAAACAAGAAATAGTAACCAGGTAGAAAACAAAATAGAACAAACGAAAGGATACTGTGTACATTACAAAAAGGGGAGAAATTGCTATTGCAGTTAACCAGACCTGAACCTAATATGGTATTTATAAATACCATAATATGGTATTTATTTCCCTTCAGGGAAATTTTATTTTGGTTGTTGTTTTTTTCACTTGGTTGCAAGTTCATAATACTGTGTCTAGGCAGGGATGCAAAAACATTTGTTATTCTTGAGAGCCAGCCTGATCATCTCAAGGCATAGGTTGGCATGCCCAGAGTGACTTTTGAACATAAAAATAACATGTTTTTGGGGGTGGGGATGGAGCGCCCTGCAGTACTTGGTTTGGCTTAGTGTTTCACCCTAGCCCAACCTTGTGGTTCAGCTCTCTCCAGACTAATCATGAGCTGTAGCCAAGGTTTGTCCTGTGGTTTATGACTCACAATTTGGGAAAACTAAACCGTGAACCCAGATTTAGTCCACACACTAAGCCATACTTTGATTTAGTGCAGCACATCAGTAGCACAATTGAGAAAGGAGCCAAGTGGCCACAATGGTCTCTCTTGGAGCCTGCATGCTTAGCGATGGTTTGGTATTGCATGATGGGTGAAGCAGGTTGGTGTAAAAATCTGAAAACTCCACCAACCACGTAGAAAATGAAATTATTTGTGATTTGGTTTTACCTAGCAATTGATTTGGGCATTTTAAACGGCTATTTTCTCTGGGCTTCGCTTTCTTTCTGCTCTTTAGCCATAATGTGTAATGGAGGGTTCTAAAATATGATTTTAGAGAGTCCCATGGAGTGCAAGAAGATCAAACCTATCCATTCTTAAGGAAATCAGCCCTGAATGCTCACTGGAAGGATAGATCCTGAAGCTGAGGCTCCAATACTTTGGCCACCTCATGAGAAGAGAAGACTCCCTGGAAAAGACCCTGATGTTGGTAAAGATGGAGGGCACAAGGAGAAGGGGACGGCAGAGGACGAGATGGTTGGACAGTGTTCTCGAAGCTACCAGCATGAGTTTGACCAAACTGCGGGAGGCAGTGGAAGACAGGAGTGCCTGGTGTGCTCTGGTCCATGGGGTCACGAAGAGTCAGACACGACTAAACAACAAAAATATGATTGGCATCATCTTTGGCCCTCTTTTGATGCCAGTTAAAAACATCTTTATTGTTGTGGGGAATAATGTTGCTGGAGATACTTTTGACATTTGCTGCTGTATTATTTTATGACTCTTAATGATAAATTATTTTGTTTAGCTATAGCTTTTTAAATGGTTACCCACTCTGGGATCACAGAAGATGAAAGGTGGAATATAAATCTAAACAAAACGTTGCCCTGAATCCCAGAATGCATCGCCATCGAACAAAAGGAATCTTTGAAGTGTTGTCAATTAAAGACTAGAGAAAGCAGAAAAGCCTGCTCATCGAGGGAAAAGCAAAGTATTAGCATATTTCATATGTCAACCCCCTGAGCAGTTTCTTTCCAAACTGAATGATTTGAGTCTCTTCCGCTGCGGCTACTAAGAATTTCTAACCCTTGTGTACTGTTAGCTCTCCTTTGTCTTTTTCCTTGGCTCTGGAAAGGTGCCCGCTATTCTGCAATAAAAGTACAAATTGAGCGGTACAGAAGTGCAGAGTTGAGAATAAGAGCTTTAAGAGCCCTTCCCTCAGGACATCAAAAAATACTTTTATGAGTAGTCTTTAGGGAAAGGCCACACACTAAATGGATATGGAAATTAAATTTCCATTATATCCTAAAAGTGAAGGCTGACTATAGTGCTCTCATCGCTGAGTGAAAATGAGTATCATGGTGACAAGATCTTTATCTGGGCTTCAAAGGAATCTCTTTGCGAATGCCATTATGGAACTGAATAGGCAATTATGAGGGGAAGGGAATGTTCCAAACAGTGCTTTTTAAAATGGGTACTAATTTGTGAATAAAGTGATAACCCATCTCGCCAAATATGACAGCAAGTAGTATCTTTGTTAAAATAGCGGGGTCATGTGCTGAATTTGAAGTTGGTTGCATTTGGGATCCGAGTAGCTCTCCTTGAAAGCGGTTGCTAGGGCCAGGTGCGTTCCACAGTAATGTGGTTGGACCATGGAAGCACAGAAGGGGTGTCTGGCACTCTTGGAATCAGTCCTTTAACAAAACCAAACAAAAACTTGAACGGTGTGGTCAGGACCTGATGAATCAGAAGGAAGGAGGGCTGAACAGGCTGTCCATTCATTGGTCAATAGTTTGTATCCAGTGGGCAAATGCAAAAAGGGCACAATTTGTTTAAATGAGTTGAGATGTATGTTCTTGAGGCATGTGGTACACACAGACCCAATCTTCCATTTTGACTTGATTCCGTAAATTGACTTTGTTCCCATTCCCAGTTGATTGAGCAAGGTAGGGGTTGATTAACATCCTTCACTGCATGGGCGTAACCAGGATTTGGGGGGGGGCAGAACCAACGTGATTGGTTAGTTAGTTAAGTACAGTGGTACCTCGGGTTACATACGCTTCAGGTTACAGACTCCGCTAACCTAGAAATAGTGCTTCAGGTTAAGAACTTTGCTTCAGGATGAGAACAGAAATCGTGCTCCGGTGGCGCGGCGGCAGCAGGAGGCCCCATTAGCTAAAGTAGTGCTTCAGGTTAAGAACAGTTTCAGGTTAAGAACGGACCTCCTGAATGAATTAAGCATTTAACCTGAGGTACTACTGTACAGACGTACCTCAGAAGTTGAACAGAATCCGTTCCGGAAGTCCATTCGACTTCTGAAATGTTCGGAAACCAAGGCGCAGCTTCCAATTGCGCAGGCGTGCCGGAAACAATAGCGGAAGCCGTGTCAGACATTCGGCTTCCAAAAAAAGTTCAGAAACCGGAACACTCACTTCCGGTTTCCAATTGTTTGGGAGCCAAAACGTTCAACTTCCAAGGCGTTCGGGAGCCGAGATACGATTATTACTATTGTTTTACTTGACTGCATCTTTTATGGATTTAGTTCTTCCTGCTGACACAATGTGAGAGTGCCAGTCAAGATGTCAAAATGAAAACAAACATCAAAGGAACATAGAATGAAATAGGCTTTTAACATATTTTCATTAAATATCGTGGTCTGCTTTTGTATGATGTGCTAAAACCGTAGTTTAGTGCTACAGGAATGGACCTGTTTGAGCTTGTACACTCCTCTGGCTTGTACACTCCTTTTTCCAGCCTAGCTGGCAGGAGGAAATCAGGAGGCCAGAATGATAATAATTTACCAAAAGGTTTAATCGCAACATACTCGGTCCCTGCTCCTGCCAACCTAGCAGTTTGAAAGGACATCAAAGTGCAAGTAGATAAATAGGTACCGTTCTGGTGGGAAGATAAACAGCGTTTCCATGTGCTGCTCTGGTTCGCCAGAAGTGGCTTAGTCATGCTGGCCACATGTACACTGTACGCTGGCTCCCTCGGCCAATAAAGAGAGATGAGCGCCGCAACCCCAGAGTCGGTCACGACTGGACCTAATGGTCAGGGGTCCCTTTACCTTTTTATAGAATATTACTGTGCAAATTAATATGGAGCTGTTATGTGAACAGCAGTATTTTTTTTTTCATTCCCACCATATCTGACTTTGAAATATTTTTGGATACCACTTGTACATACATTGATAATACATTCCCCGCTATTACATAGGTCTCCCCCCTTTAATAATCAGTATCAATAACTCAGTTTCAGGAGCCTGAAAATGACTTTTTAATGGAAAAGCCAGATCTGCCTGTACTTCAAATATTTGAACTATTCTTGCTTCTTCATATATGTATTTAATTTATTAGGTTTGACCTGAATGAATAAATCTTGTTCGGAAGACGGCCTAGCAAGCAAACAACCCAGCGGTTAGTAAATGCTGTTCTTGGATTCTCCCCTATTCTCTGTTTACTCTCTGTCCAAGCCAAGATTTTAAAACCCAGCGTTTATTAATATGTGTGGTTCAGAAAGGCAGAACATGCAGGACTTAGCCAAATGAGGGTTCTGCCAAAGCTAGTTGTTCAAGAAAAGAGAATATTCTTCTGATTTTAGTTTTAAATAAAGATGATTCTGACTTGGAAAGGCTGTTTTGCAATAAATTTAAAACAGAAATGTGCAGCTATTCGTTTAAAAAGAAAAAATCAAATGAAACAGGACAGATGGGGAAATTGGCTAGAAATCTCGAGTTGTTGAAGTTCGGGTCAGTTTTCCTTGGCGTTCCTTCAACTGGAATGAGGTGTTGATTCAGCAAAATAGTTCAGCTCGCCACTGCTCAATAATAATAATAATAATAATAATAATTTAATAATTTATTATTTATACCCCGCCCATCTGGCTGAGTTTCCCCAGCCACTCTGGGCGGCTCCCAATCAGTGTTAAAAACAGTACAGCGTTACATATTAAAAACTTCCCTGAACAGGGCTGCCTTAAGATGTCTTCTGAATGTCAGGTAATTATTTATCTCTTTGACATCTGGTGGGAGGGCATTCCACAGGGCGGGCGCCACTACCGAGACGGCCCTCTGTCTGGTTCCTTGTAGCCTCACTTCTCGCAATGAGGGAACCGCCAGAAGGCCCTTGGCGCTGGACCTCAGTGTCCGGGCTGAACGATGGGGGTGGAGACGCTCCTTCAGGTATACAGGACCGAGGCCGTTTAGGGCTTTAAAGGTCAGCACCAACACTTTTAATCATGCTCGGAAACGTACTGGGAGCCAATGCAGATCTCTCAGAACATAACCAACTCTTCCTTTGCTGCCATCAGCTGACTCCCCCCCCCCCAATGCCTTTCCCCAGCGTTTTCTGTCGTACCCTTCTCCCCAAAGTCATATTTGCTAGATCATGGCCTGTGTTGTTGTCCTCAACCCTATCTGGCCGACTGAATTGCTGTTGCTCCACGTATGCCATTGTAAGGTAAAGGTAAAGGGACCCCTGACCATTAGGTCCAGTCGTGGCCGACTCTGGGGTTGCGGTGCTCATCTCGCTTTATTGGCTGAGGGAGCTGGTGTACAGCTTCTGGGTCATGTGGCCAGCATGACTAAGCCGCTTCTGGCGAACCAGAGCAGCGCACGGAAACGCCGTTTACCTTCCCGCCAGAGCGGTACCTACTTATCTACTTGCACTTTGAGGTGCTTTCGAACTGCTAGGTTGGCAGGAGCAGGGACCGAGCAACGGGAGCTCACCCCGTCATGGGGATTCGAACCGCCAATCTTCTGACCGGCAAGCCCTAGGCTCTGTGGTTTAACCCACAGCGCCACCCACGTCATATGCCATTGTAGGTAAAGGTAAAGGTACCCCTGCCCATACGGGCCAGTCTTGCCAGACTCTAGGGTTGTGTGCTCATCTCACTCTATAGGCCGGGAGCCAGCGCTGTCTGCAGACACTTCCGGGTCACGTGGCCAGCATGACAAGCTGCATCTGGTGAGCCAGCGCAGCACACAGAACGCCGTTTACCTTCCCGCTGGTAAGCGGTCCCTATTTATCTACTTGCACCCGGAGGTGCTTTCGAACTGCTAGGTTGGCAGGCGCTGGGACCAAACGACGGAAGCGCACCCCGCCGCGGGGATTTGACCCGCTGACCATGCGATCGGCAAGTCCTAGGCGCTGAGGTTTTACCCACAGCGCCACCCGCGTCCCCATATGCCATTGTAGTAGCATGCAAAACAGTGCTCACAGCTGTGTGTTTTGACCATGTGACACAAGCACTGAAACTAAGGATTCAGTTCACTTTCTTCTTCTTCTTCTTCTTCTTCTTCTTCTTCTTCTTCTTCTTCTTCAAGTTAATTTTGTATGTGTACTAGAAAGGAAGATAAGAAGCAAACCATGCACCACTGCCCCCAAGTGGGAGCCGGCGTACAGCTTCCAGGTCATGTGGCCAGCATGACTTAGCGGCTTCTGGCGAACCAGAGCAGTGCACGGAAATGCCGTTTACCTTCCCTCCAGAGCGGTACCTATTTATCTACTGACGTGCTTTCAAACGGCTAGTTTGGCACGAGCAGGGACCGAGCAATGGGAGCTCACCCCGTCGTGGGGATTTGAACTGCCGACCTTCTGATCGGCAAGCCCTAGGCTCTGTGGTTTAACCCACAGTGCCACCAGTGTTCCTTTCCTCAAAACATACGAACAATTATCTCATGCAACAAAATAACTAATTCTTCGGGGGGGTGCACATATGAGATTTGAATTTTGTTGTTGTACACCACCCTGATATGTTATCATGTGACTGTATAGAAATAATAGAAATATTTTTATCAATTAACCCCCCCCCCTTTATAAAAATAGATTCCTTTAAAACTGAAGAAAGACAGGGAAGAAATGGAAGAAATAAATATTGGCTTGATGTAATATATATTTAAGTGGCTTTTTTCAATGGTTTTCGATGCATTACACAAATACAATTAAAGTCATTTACCAAAATCATTAGAAGCCAACACTAAAAATTGCAGTATTTTTATCTGTTCTCTGCCATTATGCAAAATAAGCCCAGGAAAAGATACTGCATATTTTATAAGCTCTGGTTTTGAAAAAGAAATAATTTGCATTTAAATTATTTAAAAGTAGTCTATTTTGAAAAATAAATGGGTGGGTTTTGTTTCACTGATAAGCCAGAAAAAAAATTTCCCCCATCTTTTCAGTAGTGCAAGATCACAAGAATGATGAGGATTTTAAAAGGAAGAAAGTATGGATAATTGTATATTCTCCCCAAAGGGGGAATCAGGACTTTCAACAGGAAAATGACACGGCAGGTGCAAGATGGAAGTGGTTTACCTCTTGATCCACAGTCAGTTGTTAAGCTATTGGCGCAAGAACCAAACATGACTTCTGCATAAATCAACGGAAGTGGTGATTATTCTTTATAGCCCAAGCTACGAAAGGCTGAAAGCTGCAACTCTAAGCTGACCAAGCTGCAAGCTTCATTGTACACAGTGGGACCTGACTTCTGGGTAAATGAGCCCAGGATTGTGTGGCCTGAAGCTCTTCTGCCCTGCGCCAGTCTTGTCCTTTCAAAAATCTCTATGAACAACTGCTGAATGACATGCATTGAGGATTCCCCGGTTGGATAAGCCAATAGTCTTCCATCCTGCATGAGGAATTGCTTTAGATCACTGTACTGGCTCGGGTTCTGCAAGGATCGATGAGCTATGGGTATTTAGCCAAGGTAGCGCCATTCTGAGGTTTTCATACAGGACGAAACATTTCATTTTCCTTTCCAGGCACAAATGCATTGTTTTATTTGTTTAGGCCATTTCTACACCATATCTCTCAGCAGTGTACATAAAATTAGAACAGCAGCAAATATCCCAAAAACGGACCATAAATCCATTAATACAAATTACTAATAAATGTATACATATAGTATTTCCTTCTCTGTCTAACATATGTCCCCCACAAAAAAAACACTTATCCAGAGGTTTTTCTTCTCTGCAGCAAAGTTTGAGGACTGAAAGGGAAAGAAAAGGAAAATTTGGTTCTATTAGCCCGTGTGTCTTGCACTAGCAGAATGGGAGTGTTGGTTGCAGCCCATTACTTGGATGTTTGTCCCAATGAAACTCATGAGATATGCTTCCAAGTTACCGTATTTTTCGCTCACAAGGCGCGCCGGACCATAAGGTGCACCTAGTTTTTAGAATTTTTAGATGCACACACATTTCCCCTTACTTTTTAGGTGGGAAAAAGTGTGTCTTATGGAGCGAAAAATACGGTATATATTTAAGTTTGCAATGCAAGGCAATCAATGATAATAAAAAAATGAGTAGGGTCACAGGCAATGGGGGAGAAAATTCAGACAAATAGTTGCTGCACATGAAGACACGGTAATAGTTTCTTTAGCTTTGCTGTGCTTGAAAATTCAACTGGAATGAGACATTTGCCTTTTGCGAATGACGATTTTATGTCTGTATCAGCATGGGGAAGATAGCCTTCCTGCTAATGTGTTTGACACCTCTGCTTTATATAATTTCTAAAGAGCTGAAGTATCTATTAGCTACTGCATGCTTATATTCCAGCTTGACCTCAATGTGTCAAAACACAAACAATACCATTTCATGGTTTATAAAAGCAGTTTGTTATTTGTCCCTTACACACCAGGCTAGCTACAACTGATAGCGTACTCCATTTGCCAGTGTTTAAGCCATTGGTGTGATGCTATTACCAGGAAATGTTTAATCTCTTTTAATCGCTCTAATTCCTTTGTTGTGATTGTGATTATATAGGAAATAAACATTGGACCTTTGAGAAAGCTGGTCTCCTCACAGCTTTATTTCATACAGCCTTCAGTTCAAGTAACATAATAGTGCAGAACAAGGCCATTCTGTTGCTGGCAGTGAATAGGTGATGCAGTTTAAAGATGGCAAATTTGGGAAAACTTTTGTCCAAAGTTCACTGCTCCTGGGTAACCATACAGAGAAGAGAGGTGACAATGGCTGCTACTGCTTGGGGTGAGTGGTAGGCTCTCGCATAGCCATTAAGCCTACAGTGTTGCCACCATAGGGAGTCGTTCAAGGACCAATGGCCTCTGCATGAGACTCTTAAATCTCAGGGTTGTGGGTTCAAGCCCCACGTTGAGCAAAAGATTCCTGCATTGCAGGAGATTGGAACAGACGACCCGTGTGGTCCACTTCCAACTCTACAATTCTGTTATTTCAGGTAACAGAACCAACCATTTCCTAGAATGCCTTTTGTTTTGCCACTGCCTCCTTCATCCCATCAACTTCACATTTGTTTCATTTGGGGGGGTTTTGTTGTTGTTGTTAGTATCAGTTTGATTAATGTAGACCTGTGCTTGGTTTAATACACCAGCAGTAGCCGTGAGCAGAGTCAGAAGACAGTGAGCAATGGTCCCTTGCCCCAACTTTGCTTGTTCCTCATGGCAAAGCCATGGGCAACATGCAGACGTCAAGCTCTGATGGGTTATTGTGGCAGCGACACAGGACCGAGTGTGAGAAGAATGGAAAATAAAGAGTTGCGATTGGGTGCTTATTCACTATGTGAATAGGTGCCACCATCCATATACTCCTCCATTCTGTATGCCTTTGTCAGTTCTATACTCTCTTAATAATACTCCACATGGGCAATTGGAGATTCACCTGCAATGCTCCCACTGCTCACTTCTTACTGATTGTGCTGATATTGCTCCACCAGTGGTAGTTAAGTACTGGTGCCATTGCCTGCCAGTTCAGCAGCACGGGTTTCTTCTGGTGGTGTATCTTTGTGTTCTGCCATTAAGGGAGAACTTAAGAGTCTTCTTATTCCTATCCAGTGTGCGTAACGCGGATTAGTATCACTGAACCAGCCCCGCTGTTTGTTGTTGTTATGTGGTTTTAAAGTGTGAACCCATAAGAGGGATTTGGAGTGGGTTAGAAATAAATTTTTAAAAAATGAAACGAAAATACAGTCCGAGGCAATTCCCTCTGCACCCTCCAGGACCACTTCTTACGGGTGTCCTGGAGATTCACCAGAGCAGCTTTTCGGGTGGAACAATCGGCTATGGGGTGGAGAAGCAATTGGCAAAACTCTCCTGCTTCTCTTCAGCCTCCTTATGGAAGTGTCTCACTCCAAACAAACTACAAGCTGTAACGTGGTTTGTGCTTATTGCTCGTGGTTTGTCTGGGATGCAAAAACACGAATCCAGATTCAGGTGATATAGTAAGCCAAACTATGTCTCAGCTCAGTGCAGTAGGAAAAGTGGCCATAATCTATCCAGAAGCCCACATTTCCTCACACTTACTAAGCTAAGTTTTGGCTTAGTTTTGGCTTAGCAAACCAGACTTAATATGCCACTTTTAAACCTGAAAGCATTTTTCTGCAGTTTTGGTTTGAAAGTTGGAGGAAGAATGGAGGAAACTCAGGTTCATGATTTGCGATTGCCCATTTATATATATGATGGATTTATCAGCACTGTGGTCACTGTTGCCTTTAATCTCACAGCAGATTGTGGGCACCATTTAAATTCAGAACCCCCTCCCTATTTGATTTTGTGACACGTGGCTCTGTATGTCTATAATGTACAAGGTGACAGCGCCTGACACTGGGGGTGGCAGCTGACCTCTCCAACATAAATGAGTCTCAACATATCTGGAATTCTGAAGCTATAACGATAAATCGCCTCATCAATACAAAGGAATGCCTAAATACTAGCAAAGGAATATTAATGTTGCCTTGCTGAAACTATACAGCGGACTATAATGTTACGAGTGCTGGGGTTTTTTATTTATTTATAGAGCATGCAGTTTGCTAATGCATTGCAGTCATTGGCGACTGTTTGATATTTCTTTATCTCTGCTCTCACAAAATAACCACGTGTCACAAAATCAAGCAGCATGTCACCTAGCAACAGGAAGTGCAGTGCAGGAGCCAAGAAAAGTTCCAGGCTGGGCAGAAAGAAACAGCAAGCGGGGCATCAAGGAGGAGGCATGCATGCGTGAACTGGGTGTCTTAAGAGAACAAAGGCCTCACAATCCAACAACACCGATGACACCGTGGTGAGTATAGCAGGAATCCTTTAACAAGTGATGGGTGAGCTTTCCCAGGCATGCTTAAAATTAGGACTTGGTTTAGACTGAGCCCAAATTAGCTCATTTTAAGAACAATTCCATTTGGAACTCTCTTAAGCCACCCCCTTCTCATCCTCCCCACAAACCTATGCTACTGACAGAGAAAAATGAAGATTAGCGGTAGCAGCATCGACTAAGACCTAGGACAGGTATGAGAAACCTGTCGCCCTCCAGATATTGTTGGATTCCAACCATCAGCCCCAAGCCAATGTTTCTGGGTGATAGAATTTGTAATCCAACAGCATTGGGAGAGCTACATGTTCCCTATCCCTTACCCTGGAATGTTGGAGGAACAGTGGATTGGACACCAGGATCCATGAGAATTATAATTTCCCAGGGCTTATTGCCCCTTTGTAAGGTCTTGGTGCTCAAATGATGCTGATGTGATGGAGGAAAGCCACAGCTGCAGCCTGTACCATTCTTGCTGCCTTCATAAGGTACCTTTCAGCAGGAAAGAAAGGGAGTTGGCTCTGGCAGCAGGGATGGAACAGATCACAGCTAAGCAATTTGGCCTTTGAGCTAAAAAATGTCCCACATGGCACATGTAATGCCCCAATCAAAATTATACTAGACCTGCAGCAGAACTACACACATTTGGCATACAAGATTGCAGTTAATGCTTTTTGGTAATGTCAGATGCAATCTTCACTGACTATAGAGAGAGCTTGATAATCTGTTCAAATCCTTAAAAAGCAAGGAAGCCTCTGTGGTGTGGCCAGCAAACCCGTAATACAGTGGTACCTCGGGTAAAGAACTTAATTTGTTCTGGAGGTTTGTTCTTAACCTGAAACTGTTCTTAACCTGAGGTACCACTTTAGCTAATGGGGTCTCCCGCTGCAGCATGATTTCTGTTCTCATCCTGAAGCAAAGTTCTTAACCCAAGGAACTATTTCTGGGATGGCGAAGTCTGTAACCTGAAGCATCTGTAACCTGAGGTACCACTGTATTTAAACCTGCACCACCTTATTCTCTCTCCCCCCCCCCAATTTTTATACTATAATTTAAATAGTTCATAATTGTGGATATCAATCTACAGATAATTTATGAGTACAGCAGTTCCATGCCACCAATAGAATGCATCACTTCTCAGGTGTTTGACATCACATTTTACCCTGTTATTTCCAACCTACCTTACTCCAAAGGTCACCTGGATTAGCTTTTGCATTACACTCTTCTTCATTTAAATTTCATTATTTCTCATGCTTACTGGCAATGCATTAATCTATGTAAGAACCCTATATATGGTTTCAATGTTTTAATTGTACACCTAAACATGTCAAAGTGTACTTACCTTCCAAGTATTTTCAGCATGCAGCTTTCTACATAGGACCATCAGGTCAGTTGCTGTGCAAACAAATAGATGGACACATGTCTAGTATCAGAAATGGCAACATTAAGAAACCAAAGGAAGATAATTTTGGTCTCCCGGGATATTCCACTGTTCTCCAACGAAGTGATTTCAAAGGGGACTGCAGCATGAAATTGCTGAACTGGAACTCATCAGGAAATATTGAATATATCAAGTTCATTATCTTGAACTAAGATAATGGTTTCCTGTCCCACCAGAGGTGTCAATTCATCCATCAATCCAAGGGATGACAATCTCACTAGTCCCTGCTCTCATGCATGGTCACTTTGCATGCATTTTACTTAGAATTCCCATATCCTGTATTATTTACATTTCATTGCCCTTAGACCCCACTGTTTCCATCCCTTCTTCTCTACACGTGTGTAGGCATGTATATGCACATACATGTATTAGAGGTGACGTGAGTTCAACAGCTAAGGTGCGTAACAACTGGTAATTCATTATAAGCATGGACAGACTGTGTGCACATAATTCACAAGGCACAGTAAATGGGTGCAGTGGCCGGTTGTTAGGCACATGAACCATTCGGCTCACATTACCCCTGATATATATGTCTGCACGTTCTCCAATGGAGGATAACACTCCTTGCATGTGAAGCAGACTCTAGCGTACGAAAGCTTTGCCTTAAAAAAAGTAGGATGAATATGACAGGACAAATGCACATTTGCAAATAAGTGCATCATATGACATCGCACACTCCTTAGGGAGTTGTGATGGGTTGCGTGGAAGTTTTGTGGGCAACCTGGGTTGGCCTTTGCCTAGTGTGTGAAACTGCCCATGCTGAACCTCCCGAAAGGATGTGATACTCAACCAATGGGGTTGATTGATACTTAGGTCCAGAACCCCAAATCATCCTCTTGTATCATAGGAGCCAAGTCCTAGGAGCCAAGATGCCTTCGCCTCCCCCTCAATAAAATATTTGAGGGGGCCCGCACCCCATTTTTATGGGCATCGCCATTCAAAAGCGGTGTGACTTGTGTGTGTGTGTGTGTGTGTGTGCTGGATCTTGTGATCGATTATGCAGGGGGGAGCTTCTTTGACACCCACCCACCCCAATATTTCATTCATGTTCGCACCCCTGTTTCGGATCCAAAGGAAACCGCCTTTTGCGCGCGACTGATGGCTTTGCAACCTGACCCTCGTAGAGAAAGGAGTTACGAGGATGGCGAGGGGTCTCTCTCTAATTTGCTTCCATTGCTGAAGCGCCCAAGAGTGGAGCGGAGTGTGGAGCGCGAGCCGCCTCCCACCACCGGGGGGGCGGGCGCATTAGGGCCCTGCGGGAAAGCGCCCCAAGCGGGGTCCCTCTGCCCGGCTTGTCCCGCCCGCGCCGAGAGTGGCTGGCAGGCAGGGCAGCGGCTGCGCTGTGCCGAGCCGAGCCGAGCCCGGGACGGCTGCCAGCCGCTGCTGCCTTCGTGGGTTGCGATGGCAGCGGCGGCGGCGGCAACCCCCTCATTCGACGAAAGGAACCTCTGAAGCCCGCCCGGCTCCCTCCACCATCCGTCCACTTGGCACACACGCGCGCGCGCCTTCACTCATACACGCAGAGATAGAGAGGCTCGCGCGCCCTCTCGCCTTCCCTCACGTTACGCGCTGCGCCCAACCTCAACTTGCCCTCCTCGTCAGGGAAGGGTGGGCTTCTGCTCGGCCACAGCCGCTTCTCTTCGGGGCGACGCCCCCCCCTCTCCACACACACTCTCGGTGTGTCCGGGGGCGCGCGCGCTAGAGGTGGCGCGCGCGCGCTCCTCCCGCAGCCTCCTCCTCCCCAGCTCCCTTTCCGTTCCGCCAGTCTCCGAGCGCCTCTGTTGCCTCGAAGTTTGGCCGGCAGCTCCGGCTCCTCAGGCAGCCGCCGCCGGCAGCGCCAGCAAGCAGCGCCGCTCTCTCGGAGCCGCCGCTGCACCGCCGAGCCCGCCTCTCTCGCTTAGCCGCTCTCGCTTTGTTCCTCTCGCTCCCCCTCAGCCCCTGAAGAGCCGGACGCCCGCGCCGCTGCCGCGCGCCGCAGCATGCTGAAAGTCACCATGCCCTCGTCGTCGTCGTCTTCGTCGTCGCCCTCCTCCGCCCCCACCTCGTCCACCGCCGCCCCCGCCGCCTCTGCCCCGACCTCGGGCCGGCCCGGGGGCGCCCCTGCCGCCGCCGCCGGCCCCACCGTCGTCCCGGACTACTGGATCGACGGCTCCAACAGAGACACCTTGGCCGACTATTACGACCTGGAGTCGGAGCTGGGACGGTGAGGAGGCGGGAGATTTGCGCGGGCGCCGCCGGGGAAGAGGAGGTGGCGGGGCGTGAGGGGAGGAAAGCCATGCAGGGCTCTCGGGAGGGCGACATCCTGGGTGCTGCTGCTGCTGCTGCTGGCGCGTCAGGGTGGCGGCAGCGGCGGCGGCGGCTGCCCCCTTATCACTAGGCGCTGGGGTGCCCAGGCTGAGGGAGGCGTTCCTGGACGAAGCGGGGCGGGGGGCGGCCAAGGGAGGGGAGGAGGAGCTGGTGGTGCAGCAGCAGCAGCAGCCGGGGCGCTTGTCGCCAGGCGAGGCAATGCAGGGGGCACAGCAGGGCCGGCGAAGTCCTGCGCGGTGCAAGGGATTGTGGGGGTGCGCGGAGCGGTCCAGGCAGAGAGAGACAGAGAGATCGTGGTTCCGCAGAGAGGAGACATTCCTAGACAGCCGTGTGGGCGGCCAGCAGTCTCGCTTTAGAGCGGGGATGGGGAGGGGAAAGACGATCAGGTGGCGCTGGCGACTGGACAGTTAGGACCACAGGAACCAACTCCTAGGGGCCGAGGATCCCTTCGATCCTCCCAATAAATGAAGGGTCCGCGGAGCCCCCTCCTAAGTTGATGAGCATTGCTATTCAAAGAGTATGTGTCTTGTGATCAGTTATGCAGGGTGGGAGTTATCTCCCCCCCCCCCATTTTTTTTATTGGCACACCCCTGGTTAGGACACCCTGGTTAGGCAGGAGAAAGCGGTGTGGCAGTTTCAGGGCTTGATCCCGGAAGACAGAGGGGTATCCTGTCCCTCTGCGGGAGAAGTGGCAAATTGGAGTGGAGACAGTGGCCACTTTTGGAAGAGGGGCAACTCCTTGGCGTCTTTCTCTTGCTGGTGTTGGGGAGCAGGGGTCAGACTGGGGCGAGTGTGCTGGGTTGGTGCCTCAGCGCTTCAGCTCAGCAGCCACACACCGCCAAAGATTTCTTCCTCTTCCCCACAAGTCTCCCCTCCATCCTTCCTTCCCTCCCGCCCACCAACCCTCTTATATTGAGGGAAGAAAGCTGTAAACGGATCGAGCCGTTGCCCCTTGTTTCACATGTGTAGGAGGCAGTATTGAAAGATGCGCCATCTGTAGCGCTCTATAGGAGATGGAAATCTCTCTCTCTTTTTTTTAACCCACATACAGATTTGGGTAATCAGCATCGTTATTTTATCCATGTTAAACTTATTGTTATCGTATGGAGGCAAGTGACACTGGAAATGGAATTTAAATACTGGTTTGGATTTGCGGTTCTGTCAGTAGGTGCTAGAGAGTGGGAATGAATCATTTAAAGCAGTTGAAAGGAAGAATAATAAAGTGATTCCCTGGTTCAAAGAAATGAACAGCCTAGCACTAATTATCTGGGAAGAGGCTAAGCTTGCAGCGTCGTCTTCTGAAACATGAAGAAATGTTTTGCAAATACCATCTCAAGAGCATTATTATTCTGGATAATTATTTAATGGTAACAGCTGTTGCATACTTATGACTTGACAGAACATTTGTGTTTGCGTGGATAAAGCATTTCCAAAAATTCTGTGTTCCTCGTGAATGGAGGGGGTATGTGTGTCAACCTGCAATCTAAATGGGATTGTAGAAAGGTAGAAACCCACAGGGTTTTCTTTTGGAAAACAGTATTCGTTTTAAATAGAAAGATTCAAGTTTAATTTTTTTACAGGCGAAAAATGTTTAGAACATTTATCTAACCTCCTCCATCTCATCTGAAAGTAGCTGCCTCCTGAAGCAATATTTTATTTAATTGTGGAGTTTGTGAAAACACCAACCTTTGGTTTAGCTGGTGGGCCAGTATTTTAGTTGGCTAATGGTGGGGCGATAAGGGAGTGCAGCAGTTCCCACTCAGATCTATGAGGAGGATGGTGTTGTCATGTGACATCCCTTTCCACACACATTGATACAAGTGTAAGAGGAGTTTTCAGCACCTTGTCTGTAAAGGCCAAATAAGGTGGGGTAAGAACATCAGGGAAGTCAATGAAGGGAAAAAGAAAAAATATCAATTAATAGCCTGTTCCAGTGCTGAATAATCCAGGGGTCGCTTTAGTAATATGCAACTGGAAATCTCAGCTGAAAACATTTATGTATTTTACTATTAAAATATTTTAAAACTACCCGCCATCTTTTCAGACCCCAGGGTGGTATACAATCGGCATTGTTATAATACAGCTGTATCACGTTCACAACCTGAGCATCCACTGTATAGGATTGCAGCTTAAGTCATTCATGCAATTTCTAACTTTCTTATTCAATATGGGATGAAGAGCAGAGACCCTCCAGTGAGTTGCCATTTGACAAACTGCACCTATATCCATAGCTGTCAACTTACAGATTTGAAAATAAGGGGCCAGCAGCCTCAAAAATAAGGGATCAGCAGCCAAAATAAGGGATTTTAGTCAACCAGCAGCCAAATGAAGCCTCAAGCAGTGGTTCCCACAGCGCAGCAACCCGGCAAAGGGGATGCAGCAGGGAAAACCACTGTCACCTCTCTGCTGGGAAGCGCTGAGCAAAGGCGAGTCCCCAGGCAACGCGGCCGATTTGATTGGCACAAGGCATGCAAGCTCCACCCCCCCAGTCATTCTTAGACTCCTTATTGGGTGAGCAACGCAGCCAAGCAACACAGTTGGAGCCTCCCTCCTCCCTGGCTGGCAGGGAGGGAGGGAGAGGAGCTGCTTCCTTTGAAACCCGGGAAATTTAAGGGACATCATCAATAAGGGACAGCAACGGGACACAGCGCTGGGATAAGGGACTGTCCCACCAAATAAGGGACGCTTGACAGCTATGCCTATATCCCATTCCATCCGTACTCCTGAAACATGTCTCATGGCATCTCAGTGCTATGAAGCACTGCCTTCCTCTTTTTGCTGCAGAATTAGATTCTAATGGAAGTAGAACTATGATGGCTGCCTGGCATCTGCAGAGACAGGGAAGTAGGAGCAATGGCAGAAGCAGAGCTGGGAGAACAGAAGTCACTGGGTAGGAGCCAGTGGAGCTGAACTAGGTAGAAAAAGCCTGGATGAGCAGAGTGTGTGTGTGGAGGGGGGAATAGGTAAGCATCCACAAATATATATATATTAACTAGACTTTGTTAAAGCATAAACTCAATCATATCTAAATACAAAACCACGTCATGGGGCAATTCCCATTCTCAGTGGCTTATATTGACAGGTGCCTTTTTATAACCTATTTTAGAAGTGCATGAAATAGTTACATTATGATATTGGGACTATGTGTAGGTTAAAATACACTTTAAGCATCCCTTCTTATGTGGGAGAGAGGACATACCTGCTCTAGGAGGCTTACAAGATAAAAACAAAACAATTCAAACACAACAAAAGTAGTCGTAAACAATAAATAAAACATCAAAAAAGCACACAGCCAAACTGAACACTTTCCACATAAATCATAATAAAGATACAAAATAAACACACAAATTTAATATCAACAGCAGCAATAAAATCCTCTAAACAATACCCCCAACCTGAATCTGTTCAGCAGCCTCAGCATTTGTAGCTGGAGTCAGTCATAGTCCCACCCTCCCAGGCCAGGAATCACAGCCAAGATGGAGAACAAGAGCAGAAACACACTTTGACTCCATATAAACTGTTAAAAACGTGGAATAAAATAAATTTAAGACCAGATATTTGGTCGTATCTGTATTAAAGTCTTGTAATATGGGAAACTCATTATAAATTGTTGCTATGGTAGTATCTAACACCAGATAGACTTCATAAAATCTATTCCAACATACAGTTTGAACGTTGAAAGTTTTCTGGCACCAGTGCACACTAACCTCATTTGTGGCAGAAGTTTAAGAAGACATATGATTTTTGGAGGCAAATAATATGTACCATGAAATAAGTGGTGTGGATTGCACTGGGACTTAGTCCAATGTTGCTTTTGTTTAAATACATTTTCTCACTGTCTGGGTAATAATGAAAGTTCTAATTCTTTATTCCAATCATCCCTTACTGTCTGTGTATTGAACTTTTGTATTGTTAATTTATATCTATAAAAAGCAATTGCTGGCTTTTTATTTTTGAATGTTGTCCAATTGCTCCAGTATCTCAGGTATCTTGGAAGCTGAAAAGGCTGATGGACCAAACACACTTGGTTAGGAGATGTTGTAATTTAAGATATTGCCATTGGGCTGCATCTGATAGATGATATATTTGTCTTAAAATAGCAAAAGTATAAAATTCATCTTCCCCATCTATCAGTTGGTCCAATGTCAAAACACCTGCTTTCATTCATCAATTTTTCCATATCACCATCTTTTTTTGCAATTCTTAGTGTGGGGTTTCCCAACAGAGTAAGTTTAACATGTGAAAATGAGTCAAATTTGTTTTTATTAGCCAATATATTCCATATTATTCTAAATGATTAATTTTTTTCCAGAGTCACTTGAGACTTTAAATTTTTCAATCCTAGTATTGTCCAACCAACCAAAGGTGCTATGTACATATATTGTAGGGTTGCCCACATCAGAAAATTAGGGCCAACAGTGGGATTCCAATATTTAGTACTTGACTGTATGTAAGCTTAGTGATATAATTCCAAATTTGGGATTCCAAAACCACCTTCTTTAATTTGTAGCTGCATTCTCTGCAAGGATATTCTTGGTGTTGCTGAGCCCTAAAGGCATTTCCTAAACAATGAGTTTATCTTTTGAAAATATGATTCAGATATAAAAACTAGAAGTCCTTTCAGGATATAAATGAATTCACTCTTCCCCAAAGGAAATTTGTTTCTGTAAATAATGAATTACCCCCCCTTCTTGTTGTGTAATTATCTTAATCATTCTCTTAAAATAATAATAAAAAATAAAAAATGCCTACGTATGAAAATATAAAAGTGTTTCATATCAAGGAGAGTGCTTATAAAACAGTTCTACTCTTTCTCCCTATAAACCATCTGACAGTAAAAATTTTGTGCCATACTAAATCTGAACTGGCACAGTTACTTGACTTATTCATTCCAGA